GTGAATGGCACATAAGAAATTAAGTTTAAGTTTGTAATCTTGGACGGTACTAACCGTCACTACGATTTAGAACGTGGATTTTTCGACATTTACGCCGGAGTAAGATTTTTATTACAAAATGAATTTTGGAATGATTAATATAATTATTATCCTAACGTAAAAAATAGAGTTAACTGCATCACACACCTTTAATTATGACCCTCATTCTAAATTGGTCTCTAAATGTTTAAACATTTTAATTTCATCCCCTAATTATGACTATCATTCTGGATTAGTCCTCAAACTTTTGAACATTTTAGATTAGTCCTCAAACTTTTGAACATTTTAGATTAGTCCTTAAACTTTTGAACATTTCATTTTTATCCTCAAACTATAATTTTGAACAATGGCTAATTATTAATAGTAAAAAATATAAATCGAACGAGTCCTAACTCAGTTCGACATTATTTGCTGTTCTAATATCTTAGAAGCTTACCTCGGTTTCATTTGGAAAACTCTATTGTACCAAACTGAGTGAAGAATTATATTAAATATGTCGTACTTCTCAGGCTTTGCGATGCCAAAGAAAATGTTTCTATACCTTTTTTACACTCATCTGCATCTGCAGATACTGTTCTTCAGGGATCGATAAGAGGATCTTCTTCATGTTCGGAATATCCTTTTCTAAAATGAATACGGCAAATGATTCCCAGTTCAAAACCTCGAAAAACGGAGGCACGAAGTTGTCGGATATGATCACCGGAACACATTCATAGAAAATGGCCTCCACCACCCTTGGACTATTAACTTCGTATCCTCTTAGGCAAAGGCAGTACTTGCATCTCTTCAGGTGCTGAACGTAGTTCATTTTCCCCTTAACATTAGGCATTTTGCCAAAGTTTTCATGTTGGGATCTTTGTTTCCCCACTGTTCTAACAGAATTGGCTTTAGATAACCATGCATATTTTCTGCAAAGAAAGCCAGGATTGGTCTCTTAGATGGAGGGTTGCCACCGAGGTCTTCAAGAGGTTTCTGCGGATTCCGGACATAAGTCTCGGGAAGAGAGACATCCTTGCCAAAAATATAACCTTCTTTAACATCGGCATTGCAGAGGGATCTTATGCAATTGGCCATGGGTTCCCTTGTTTCAGATGGTGCCTGAGAGTTCATTAGAAGATAGTTCCAGTAAAAAAAAAATAGAACTGAGAATCATTGCATCAATGTATGAAAAATGTCAAACCATGCAGCCATTGACATGCAGGCTTACAAACAAACGGATACACAGGCCTGTGTGTCTATACAGAAGTCGAGTTCATTAGAAGAACTTGTTTGTAACATCCGTGTCTCCAATATATCCTGCCATGACTATGGAGATATGATATTCCAACGATTCTCCAAATATATAGAAATCTTGGGTGGGGGGGGGGGGGAAGAACACATACTCATGTCTAACGCTCACAGCCAACTCCAAATAATATAGGTTTCAAACTCCATGTATATTAAGATATTTCAAATACTAGTGATATGTATATTAGTTGGACCATTTTTCCAAACACTCTGAAAAATGTAATGGCCAAAACCAAAAAAGCATGAAAAGCATTACCCAGTCATGGCAAGCAACCATAAAACGATCAGCTCCTTCAGTTCTATTCCAGAAAGGGTATTTTGCTGCAATCTTGTCCACGTAGTTCTTCAAATACTGTATAAGGTTCTTAGGACTTTCAGGCTCATAATCGTCTAAGGTTTTGTTTAACATTCTAGAACTAGAAGGGAAGTCGGCATCTCTTGGGTTTTTGGTGACAAATTTTGCTGCAATCGTGCCCACATAGTTCTTCAAATTCTTTTTAAGGTTCTTAAGACGGTGATAATTGTATAAGGTTTTCTTTAACATTCTAGAACTAAAAGGCAAGTAAAACAGGTGGGCTTCTCCTGGGTTTTCAGTGTCAAATTTTTTATTAGTTTTCAGTTGCTTCATGAACCATCCTTCAGAGCCATAAATATTCCCGAGAACCGGCATATGAAATATGAGTTTTTTTCCCTCCTTGTAGACATATACTTTAACTGTGCTTTCCATCAATTCATAGCTCCTGAAAATGATAATGTAAATTGTTTATACCATATGCACTTGCATACTAGTAACTGGTTTTGTTCACCGCATACTTACCAGTCTCAACTCAACCAGCAATCTGTTTTTTCTAGTAATACATTTAGTGCAGTGCTAAAATATGAAAGAGAAAAATGGGAGTCGTAATCTACCTTTTGAACATAGAAACATTCAGATAAAGAGGTTCTAAAATTGGGGATCATTGTTATAATGGGTTCATTCTCGATCTGCAATCTTGCTTCTAGTAGAACTTTATCAGCTCTTGAAGACCATCTTGGTGTCTACAAACAAACGGAGATTAAAAAAAAAACAGTGAAATATAGAACTTAATTGTCCCTTTGTAATAATGGAAATCTGAATGAATGAGCATACCATGGATTCATATGAAACAAATTGTTCATATCAGCTATTGTAGTTAGTGCTGGTGGCATCTCAGGCTTTTTCTTCGTCATGGGAGCTTTGGGGACAGAAGAATCATCACCAGATTTGGTGAAATTGTTCTGCATCTCTTTGGATTTCTCATTCTTGTCTCAACTTGGTGTCACATGTTGCCCCACTGAAGATATGCTGGAATTGGAAGACTGAATAGGAGTACTGACATCTGTCTCAACATCTTTTTCTAAGGTAGTGTTAGTTGCGCTGTAGAATTTTCCAATCCAATTAATAATAAGATGAACAAAATATTTGTTAAGAGGCAAGGTAGGCATGGACGGTTACCGTTATGTTAGACTTAGAGGGTGTGTAATTCACGACCCGGAAACGAAATGTGAAGGATTATAGGCGGCGAATGTTCCCCAGTCTTCGTCTGCCAACAATGATGCCGACTTCTCAATTATGCATCAATGATTATTACTATTAAAAAGCACCAAATATTATTTTGATTGGATTTTTGGTTTTTTATTTTGATTTCCTCGTATTTTTGTTCTTACATTACGCATGACTGGGCTTCACCTTATAATTATAACATTTTGTATGGACGAATATTGTCCAGAAAATGTACATGTGACGAATTTATTAAGTAATTTTGATAATTAAAGATAATATATTTAAAAAAAATTAGATTTAAATGATTGCGTTGGTAAGATATTTATGTATTGCCAATAATTAAAAAAATTAAATAGATATTACATTCTAATTAACCTAAGCTATTAACAAAAAGGTTCATATGTAACATGTTTCATGTTTTATTAATTTATTTATATACCATTAGATATGATTGAAAATAAAAAGTATTAATCAAAATTTGAATTCAAATATGTGTGACATGTTTTGTTATTTTTTTAAAAAATTAATATTTAAAATATTAAAATATTTTTTTTAAAAAATAATCAACCGTCATTTTTTTAAAATCATTACATTTTCAAACTCGATAAAAAAGAATCAATTAAGTTTCTTTATCACGTCATTATTTATCATAGACTATCACGTCAGCACCCGATTCAGTTGGTCAAATGGGTCATATTGATTTTTTTCCTCTCAATTTAAAAATCACATTAAATATAACATAAACTCAAAAGTCATATTAATTCTTTTAGAAAAGTTTAAGGATCTCATATACTGTTAAGCCAAATACTTTTTAATTATATAACCACTTACATACTTTTTGGTTGTCTTACCTTAAGTCTTAATTTTCTCAGTTGGTTGGTACGATATGAATGTATGTGTTTAAACAATATGTTAATTCTTTTTTATTGTCATCTCCGTTCTGAAAAAAATGTTAATTGAAACAATAAAATAATAATTATATTAAACATTATAAAAGTTACAAATTTATTTATGAAGTTTAAAAATATTTTAATTTACAATAACAAAGTGATGCTATAAGTGAAAGGGGTGATTATATTATAAGAAAAAGGAAAAGTAAAACATAAACGTTTTGATATTAATTTTGTTAGAAAAGATGATTGATAATTGTATGTTAATGACGATTGAAAAAAATGTGATGCCAAAAAGTGATTTGTTTAAGAGTTTAGTGGTAAAATCGGTACACTTTTAAAGTTTAGTATATAAAATGACATCATTTTGATCATCAATAGTCACACCAAAATGACATAATTTTGTTTATATCACCATTCCATTTGAATTTTAATAGTCTAATGGTATAATCGAAGTCAAAACCAAAGTTTAATGTTATAATTGGAGTAATTGAAAATTTAATGGTAAAAACGATATACCATGATAACTGATGTAGTTTGTCTTAAAATAAATATTCAAACTATATTGTTTTTTAGCTATTTTTTTAATCAAAGTCGATGTTCAATATTTTTATTCTCATCTCTAGATTATTTTTTATTGATGAGTTTTTAAGTCATACAGTTTTTTTATTTGTATTGTTATTACAAACGAAATCGAAGTATTTAACTTATAAATATATTATTTTTCACAAATATAAGTGTCTAACATTTATGATTATTAATTTTCATAAAACAATAAGAAATATAAATCAACCTTGATGTACCAAAAATATATAAATTTTTAAAAAATTGAAGTATTTGTAATTTAAGATTTTCCTATTTCTCAAAAATGAAAAAAAAATTATAATTTTATTTTCTTTCTATTTGTTTCTATTGAAAAATTGAAAGGATAAAAAAATGAAAATGATCGAAAATCTTTTTTTTTTGATTAATTTAAATTTGATTCTAAAATAATATTTATTTTAAGTATTTTTAACCATTTGCTTAATTATTCTTGTAGTTGTTGATACTAAAACCCGTAATATTTAGAAACAACAAAAAAAATTTAACTACTAAAGTAAGTTAGTTTGTGCGTTTGAAAATCACTTTACATGAATTTGTTATACATATATATTTTAAAATAAAACTTAAAATTGTTACGCAATTCTTTAATTAACAGAAAAATTTAAACAACAAAAAAAGAAACTAAATAATTTGTACATTCATTTTTTTATAATAAATCCTAATAAAAAGCTATATTTTTAAACCCTAACTCTAAATCCTTTTCCACAAATAACAAATTTTCTCTCGCAATTAGGGTGGGAATAGGCCAGGCCGGCCTACAGGGGCCTACGACCTGGCCTACATAAAGTCTAGCCTGGCCTGGCCTATTTAATAAAAAGGTTAGGTTCAGGCTTTTTTAAAAGCCTATTAAATTAAATAGACCAGACTTAGGCTTATTAAAGAGCCTTATAAGCTTGATAGGCCGGCCTATATATATGTATATATATACTTGTCACAACCAATGTTTTTAAAACCGGACCGGACATTGAACCGGTGAAGGTACTGGTTCACTGGTTCAACCGGGTTCAACCGCGGTTGAACCAGAATTTATATAATTTTTTTTTATTTTACATAATATTCAAAGCAATATTAATATATATGTAACATTTTTTTTAAGTTTACAATATTAAAAGGTATAAAAATATCACAAGTCATAACATATATAAATTAAAAACCATAAAATCAAGTGAAACAAAATAATTCAAATCAACTACAACATAATATTTAAGGTAAAACATATTAAATAATAAATATAATTATATAACTATAATCAAAAAAATAAAATTGGGGCTTAAAAAAATCATAACAAATGATGTCATTTGGTTTAATTTTTTTTAAAAAAAACAATCTCACATGGCTAAGAAACATAGAATAGCATCCAAAAGTTTAAAGAGAAAAAATATGAGAACAAAACAATCTCACATGGCTAAGAAACATAGAAGAACATTCCAACTTACTTCTATAAATAATAGAGGTAATTTGACATTTAAAATCATGGAGCCTTTTGGTGAGCACATAGCGAACTATTCTTTCGCTTCAATTGAGCTCAAATTTTAGGCTTCAATCGAACTTCTAATTTTTTTTTGAGTTCGAGCCTTTTTGAGTTCAAGTTTTAATATTATATTTCGAGTTCGAGTTGAACTTGATAATTTTTAGCTCGTGAGTTTTTGAGTCGAGTTGAGCTTACTTTTAAAGTTTTAGAGTTTGAGTCGAGCTCAGCAATACTCGAATTTGACTTGTCTCGTTGAACAAATGACGTCGTTTGGTTTAATTTTTTTTAAAAGAAAAAAAATGAACCGGCGGTTCAAACCGAATTTGTCGGTTTTCAACCGGTTCACCCCGGTTTTCAGCCGGTTCATTGCTAGTCCAGTTTTGTGAAGTAACCGGACCGAACATGCCACCGATTCACGGTTCAACCGGTTGAACCGGCCGATCCGGTTTTGATAACCATGGTCATAACAGTGTCTACTTTGTAAAATGCACCTAAGTTAGAGTGACTTAATAAGGACTTTACTCTAAAACTATTGACTAAACTGGAAATATTTAGCTAAACTATAGGGTCTATAAAGTAATTAACCCTAAATCTAATATATAACCATAAAACTAAACTACCCCTCTCTCCCGAGTTTCTTTCTCTCTTCAATCTCTCCCCCTCCAATTATCTCTCACGAGCAGGCCCTCCCACCATTGCTTCATTTGTTTTTTTAGTTATATATCCATTACAAACAAAGAGAAATAACAACAAAAGTGGAACATGGACACAGTATGGGCGACAGTAGCATTTGATGGTGTGTTAGTGCAGGAGTCGGGAACAGTAAGGTATGGTGCTGACCTTGGGTACTATACAGATAGGTATGGGGGATAAAAACTGGTATTTACAATACTTGTATTATTTTTTTGGGTACCAATATATATATGTGTCCAACTAAATTAATGTTAGATTAAAAATTAAACCAAATTATATATTAATGGCTTGTTTAACCTATTATAGGAGGTGCGTTTTTTTGTAAAAACAACTATCAAAAAAATATTAAAAGTTTAATGTAAAACATACTTTTAAAAAGGTTATCAGACCAGGTTAAACTTTTAAAAAAAAGTCATACTAAGCAAAATAAAAATAAAAACATATGATAAGCTACAAACCAGACTTGCATAAAATATTCAACCAGGCCACATTCAGGCCTTTTAAAGCCTCGCCTGGCCTATTTCCACCCCTACTCGCAGTTGGACCCAATTAATTAAAGGAAATTTCGAGATAAACGAGCTTTGCTTATTGAGCGTGAGGGAGAGCAATGGAGGTCGATAGAGAAGACGGACGCTCGCAGAACCAGTTGAGACCTCTCGCATGCTCTCGCAACAATCTCCATCGTGCTCATGGCTCTGCCAGTTGGTCTCAAGGTACTTAATTTAGGGGGGAAGGGGGGAAGAGAAACTGTTGAGGAATCGCGGTATGTTGATTATAAATCTACTTATTTATTCATTTTTTTAATTTAGGAGATACGAAAGTACTCGCTGCTGTTTATGGGCCGAAAGCTGGAACTAAAAAGAATGAAAACCCCGAGAAAGCTTGCATTGAAGTCATTTGGAAGCCTAAAACCGGACAAATAGGTGATTTCTTAACACCCCTTTAATTATTCTTGCGTTTGAAGTTTGGTAAACTGGGAAATTTCTGAAATATGTACATTGGTGTTTAGGGAAACTAGAAAAGGAATATGAAATGATATTGAAGAGAACCCTGCAGAGTATTTGTATTTTGACTGTTAATCCAAATACTACAACATCAGTTATAATACAGGTAGGTTATTTGTTAGCTATTTGTGGAAAAATATCTCTCGTTTATGACCGAGTTGTTCATAGATCAAGTTTTTATGTTTTGTATTGCAGGTTGCCAACGATGATGGTGCTGTATCCTTTATGCATTTCTTTTAGGATTGTTTTACAGTTTCATTTCTTTGTGCCATGAGTTTCGGTTTTCCAAAGATTAGGCTTCTAGTGTTTATAGTTTAATATCATTAGAGATACGTAATCTGAATCTACATTGGGAAAACTATAATCTGAGACACAATGATGTTGCTGCATAGAGTGTTCATTGCTAGAGATTGAGTAACTTTTTCTTAAAATTATGATTCAGTGATTGTTTGTCCAAGATCCACACCCAAGGCCCCCCAAAACAGTTTCCATAGTTTGTAGATATATTATACAGCTTCTCAATGATATCATGGTAATCCTTGATATTATCTCATATAGCTTCTCCCAAGTGCCATTAATGCTGCATGTATGGCTCTTGTAGATGCAGGGATTCCTACGAGGCATCTTGCTGGTAAGCAATGCAGACATGTGGCCAGATCATGTTTCATCAATAATCAGTTCTTAACTTCTTGCTGATCTTATGTTGGATTTTGCAGTCTCAATATGTTGTTGTGTGGCAAGGAGTGGACTTGTTGTATTGGATCCAACCAAGCTAGAAGAGCAGGTTATCATAGAATTCCTTTGCTAATTAATTATAAATTTCTTCTCTAACTAGAATGTAACTCATGTGTGACACTTCTAGCCTAAAGGGGGTGTAAAGAGTATAAAATTTCCCCTGGATTAATATCCAAATATGTTTGAATAGTCTCCACTTTAAACTATACTTTGACAGCAGTTGCGTACAAGTCAGTGCTGCTTTATATAGGAATGAATTGAGTTACCTTGGTTTCTTGTAAATTTTGTTTAGATCCTATTTGCTGACATTGATGTCTTTCATAATAACAGAAAATGAAGGCATTTGCATATTTAGTCTTCCCAAACTCGGTCCATTCAGTCCTTCCTGAAGGATCACCAAGTGGGCAAGGTGAACCTATTCAAAATGGGATTATTACCTCTGTTACTCACGGTATAATGTCAGGTATTCATTGCTGTCTATTGGTCTTTCCTTTTTATTTTAAGTTTACTTTGTGGTTGCAGAGTCACATTTAATTGCAAAGATTTTCATGTTTTTGGAGATTTAAGGCTGCTATCAATTAAACTGAATGCATCACTTTCATTGGCTTTCATTCTCAAGAACTTGGGAATTGATAATACCAGCTTCAATGAAATGAAGCTGCTTGCCTTTGAAGTCCTTCTTGCATCGAATTTGGGTGTTGTAACAACTATGATGCTTATTTTTGGCCTCTTGAAGTATTAGTTGGGCTTAAATAATCTGTGATGCCATATTTGATTCTAATATATTCTTTATTCGAATCCTTCTTCCAGTGGATGATTATTTTTACTGCCTAGAACGAGGGCGTGCTGCAAGCACCAAATTGTCTGATTTTCTCAGGAAGAACTTGCAACAGCAGTCAACTGATTCATCTAAAGCTGGGTGACTTTATAGCACGTTCAGGAATCCCTGGTTTGTTGAATTTCATGTTCTACCGGATATTAGCATTAGCCATAGTTGTACTGATTGATCACTCATTTCCTCAGACTTCCACAACCCTTTTGACCAAATTGTATTAGAAGTTTGATGTAAAGATAACCATATTGTTTCTAAGTTGTGATCTTAGCAATCCAGCAGTTGGTGGATAGTTCTCATTGTATGAGGACTTGGATAAAAGAGAAGGAACATAACTTTCAGCCTCCCCATTATTCAAAGTCCCTGGCCGAGGCACAGGAGACAGTGTCCTAATGGATGCCATCGACACTAATCCGATTCACTTCTTAAATCAATAAAGGATCGCCACAAAATAGAAACCAAATTCTATCAAAGACTTAAGTTCCCCCCCCCCCCCCAATACACCTTTTAAACATGGAGCAACCTTTCCCACGAGGCCATAACAATGCCAAAAGTAAACTTGTTGATCTACAATGAACTGCCAAAGCAACTATATCAATGGTTTGAAATAAGTTTAATGAAACGAACAATGGAGTTACCTTCAAAACGAAAATGGGTCTTCGATTTTCTACTTCAGAAGTCCATAAGGATATGGAACCAGCATCATCCCTGAGCTTTGCTCAACGTTTTACAGAGGAATAAACACTCCCTTGCTGCTGTTCTGAAAGATTCAGAGTTTCAGACACGACAAAGATTTTTGTTTTTTGTTCTGTTTCCTCCCTTAATAATGGATATGGAAAAGATTAAGGTGTTTCAAATATATGTGTTAGGAGGTGATAACAGCACACGGCAACCATGGCGGCCCTATATGGCAATCGCCACGGGCACACCAGTTTTTAAGTTGCTTCTCGCTGTTTTGGCATAGCTTAGCCTCAACCTTTGTTTTGGTAAGTGGAGTTTGATCATTGATTTTCTAGTCAAATAAAGTTTTTTTTCCCTCCAATTATGTCATGTTTGAGAAATTCTAGTATCTTTTTGGCTTAAATATACAAAAGATGCCCAACCTATGTCTATTTCTCTAGTTTAGTGTCTAACGTTTATTTCATTACAGTTTGGTGCCTAACGTTTCATTGTGTTACTTAAAATAGGTCAAGTTGTGACGGACCGTTAGTTTTCTCTATTAAGTGACGCATATCACACTATGATAATTTTAAATTTTTTATATAAAATTAAAAAAATAAAATTATATATATTTTAAAAAAGAAAACACATAAATTTCGAAATAACACCAAAACTTTGAAAACCTTCATGTCAACCCCTAAACACACGTCGACTGTCTCCCTTTGCCATCGACGAAGCTCCACCCAACCTCACCTCCCCCGACGACCAAAACCTCTATGAATTCGTGACTGATCAATGGTCGATCGACGACAAATCGACGTTTTATACCTCGCGAACCCTAGGATGAAAATCACAATCCCAAGCGATTTCGACGGCCAATCGAAGGCAACTACGACGACTTATAACTGGGATGATGACAAAGACTACGTCGACGGCGGTAGTCGTAACCATAAAGAAGGGCGGCGGGGGTTAATGTTAGGATTTTGAGGCTTTTTTGTAATTTAAAAGAAATAAGGTTTTTGTTTTATAAATATAATAATCTTTTTAATATTTTTTGAAAAATAAATTTTAAAATTACGAGATCGTAACACGTGTCATTTAACGGAGAAAACTAACTGTCTGTCACGGCTTGACCCATTTTGAGTAACGAAATAAAATGTTAGGCACCAAATTAAAATGAAATAAACGTCAACACTAAACTGAAAAAATGGTTATACGATGACATCTTTTGTATATTTAACCCTATCTTTATAATATAAATAGTATATATACTATGTTTAAAAAGAAAAACTAAAGTTATTCAAGTCATGCTATAAAAACAATAGAATAAAGTCCTAATTAACATTTACTGTTAAATTTGATCTGAATAATCTCTTTCTCTCTATTTTATATAAAAAAGCATTAAAAATCTAAAGCAAAAAACTATTCTATAATTTTTTTTCTATGAAAGATGTAAAAACTAAGTAAATAAAAACCTATTTTTATCACTTATTATAAAATTAAATTTAAAAAATTTCTTGATTAATCTTTTATTCACCTTAGACTAATAAAAAATAATAATATTTTTAGATAATATTTACATTTATCAAATATTTAATAATATCAATAGTTAATAATGTATTAAAAAATCTAAAATTTTATGAAAAATCAGAAAACTCACAATTTAGATTAGACATCTTTTATAATTATGGCACATGTAGCAGCAATCTTTGTAACCTGGATTTTGTCCGAGAGGAAAGAACTGCAAGAGAAGTGAAGGCTCATTACATTACATGTGCACTGCTACTTACTCCCTCTTTAACGTCCAATCCGTATACCTTGAACCTTGATTTTGCTATCATCAATACATTGCCATCTTTAAAAGGTAAATAGTGTACACTACCCCAAGGACAATAAACTATTTACTCAATTTTATTTTGATCACTAAATTAATTTTTTAATGAGTTTACTAAATTTTTCATTTAGTTTCAATCAACTCATTGACCGTTAATTGTTAATAAAAATATTAACGTGACAGTTAAGTAAATCTATATAACAATATATTAAATTCTCATTATTTACACGTTCTATTAATTTAATAATATAGAACAAAATTAACAATTTAGTGCTTAATTAACACTTTTTTTTTATTTAGTGATAAATATGAGTCAATAGTTTAAAGTCCTTGGAGGTAGTTTATCCGATTTTATTTTTGATGTCAAACGGAACGAAATTGAATTAAATTGATTTCCATTGCTTTTTTTTCCCAGTTTTTTTTATTGATTTTTTCAAAGTGCTTAACTTGGAATTTTATATTTTATATATTCTACATTATAAAAAAAATAGAATAAGTTCAGCATACATATACCTTATCACGGAAAAGGTGTTGGAACTGATTCGTTAATTGTCATGTATCAAAGCTTTCTAGCACGTCGGTATATTGACGGAATCGGAGAATAGGAGTAGTTCCGTTAGTTTTGAAGGTGAAGCAGTAACCGTCGACACAGGAAAAGGGAGCCCAGTGAACGACGAAAATGGAAGGAGTGCAAGTTAAAACAGGGAAATGAAAGCTGGGGGTGGCACTGACGTTATCGTCGGAGGTAAAGGAGTTGACACCGGGAATGCTCACGGTGGCAAAGGTGAAGTAGAACCGTTACTTCGCAATTATGCAGCCACTGAGATGATCCAAAGTTAGCTCGTCTTTCTGGAAAATGATATTCATCAAGGAGCAACAATGACCCTGCGTTTCACTGAAAACACAGACATCAACTTTTGTACCTTGCCACATTGCCCAAAAAGTAAAATTTTCATCTGAAAACTTACCTGAAGTTCTCAACAAGTGAGCAGTGATTGACTTAGGTACTTCTCAGCTTGGGAAGTATGCTCATGCAAAAGAACACAATGGCAGATGCCAGTGCAAAAAGATGGTAAATTAGAAACCCGTAGTGTGTGCCATAAACAGAATAATGTTGTCTGCTGTCTTCCATTACCACACATCAGAAACAACATGGACTTTTGGAGGATGCTGGCTGATGGGACAAAAGCTGAAGTAGCAGCAATCTGCCATAGAGATGCATAATCCGTCATCACGGAACCCAATTTCCAAGTTATCACCCTTTCACGAGATATGTTCTTTAACCAGTAATCAGACATTAGAATCAGAAGATATCCTGCAAGTTAAAATTTTTGCAGAACATAACACATACATACTCTTCACTCCCGTCCGTATTTTCTGTAACTACAATCCTAAGTCAAAACCGGGAAAGCTCCTACTGATCTAAAGTTTTCATGCAGCTTCCTCCGTTCATTGATCAGTTTTTAAAGGCTTCAAAGAGCCCCATGTCTTCCCAACGTTCAATTTGACACGCAAAGGAACTGGAAAGAAAGAAATGAAAATAAAAGTAAAATGAAAATGTGTCCTTAGCTTATCATGGTTAAGAAATATGTAAACACTTGCCTAGAAGGGAGACAGCATTTTCCATGCTCACTCGCAGCAGCTCTGCAGCTTCCTCTACCACTGAAGGATCAACTTCCAGTACTAATTCATCATGCACCTAGAAAATGTCAACATAGATTCTTAATCAACTACATTATAGAACGTGATTTTTAAGATATAATTTGAAGAAAAACTTAGCTGCATCACAAGCAAACAGGACCGCAAATGTCCAGATTTAATCAATTCATCGATTATTTTCCTCAAAGGTAAAAGATAAACGAAAAGCAGCAATGTCTAAAAGAAACCTGCAAAAGAATTCTGCAGCGGCCCTTAAGCATGTGAAACTTGGTTGAAATTGTAGAGTCAGAGTCTAGCCAGTCAACCCCTTCAACGATTACATAATACATTTTTATCATTGCGATTTTGATTATGTCAGCAGCAGATCCCTGTAGATAAGAGACTATAAACAAAACGGTGGGGTTGGGATAAGGGTGGGGGAGCTATGATTATGCCACCTATACACAATGGAAACCTCACTAGCAAAAGAAAAAAAAAGGAATTGATTTGTACCTGACAAATAGAATTCACAGCTTGCCTTTGAGCTTTTGATTTTTCTTCACTGTTTCCAATCTTTATCTTCGATAAGAAGCGCTTTCTTCCCTTGAGGGTTTCTATATATCTGGATTGCAGACACAGAAATGGGGAAACAAATAAAAATTCATTGGTGGAGTCCCTTGATAAGAGTATTAGATATTATGTAGATATATTTCAGAACTTCCTTACCCCTTTTGACGACAAGAAGAAACGGCTTCATGAAGCCAGGAAGCAACACCTGGAAAAGAGCTTTTAAAGCTTTTGATTTTTTCTTTAGCTTCGTCTGAGGTGCAGTTTAGTTGTTCAGCAAGAGTGTCAGCACCCATTCCATAAAGAATGCCATAGATTAACCTTTTAGTTTGGTCTCGCTCGTTGGAGCTGACAGAATCTTCTGCCCTCCCAGTCCATATTGCTGACATCATGGTAAAGACATCACCTTGAGGCTTACTGAGGAATTCAATTAAGGCAGAGTCCTTTGAAAAATGGGCCATCAACCTCAGCTCTATTTGAGAATAATCTGCTGTCAATAGTAACCAGTTATCCTGCAATAAAAGTTGGGAAATACTCACATTGATAAGAATACAACTTCCACATAATGAACTTTTGATAAATGACTATTAAAAGGGGGGGGATCCCAATAAGTGTAACCACAAAGACATTGACTAGGCCCTTGTCCCCTCCGCTCCAACCTCCAAAATCCATCATTGCCTAAAATGCAAAACCGGTTAGTTTCACCACTTACTGCTTTGCAAAAGCTGCCCACGATACAAATTTCACACCCACTTTTGAACCACCTACCAGTCTACAAAAATCTCCCCACCCTTGTTTCAATAAAAAAATTGCAGATACAACAACAGGAAGATCAGTAGATCCTAAATCCCCCAGCATAGTCCTAGACTCACAATGTAAGACACTATGATCTATTTTAGGACACGTACAACAAATAATAGACAATTAAGACAACCTGATCTACTTTTAGACAAATCACTAACTTTTTAAAAGAAACATAAGAATAGCTAAACAATCCTTACCTGAGTAGGAACAAAGAAGTCACGGACATTAATCTTATAGTTATCACTGTTGGCATCACTTCCATTTGTATCTTTCCTAAGGCTGAACTCAACCATATGCTCAACACACTACATATCACAAACAAACTGCTAAGCAACATAGGTCGTAACGCAAATGATAAAATTAATCTTACAAACGAAAAACAAGAAGAAACTCAAGTGTTGAGAATGCAACAAGAACCTGAAGATTAGGTTCCTCCATTGAAAGCCGACCTGTTGCAGTCGATGTTTGGAGCCAGTGACCGTGTAGTGTGTATTTGTTTGTACTCCGAGACAACCTAGCTAGCGAACAAATGGATCCCAATGTACAGTTTAAGAGCTTTGCCAATGTTCTATGCTCTTTAATGACTGGAATAATAGGATGTTCATCCCTAATACCAAAACAAATCCATATAATAACAAAATCAGCATCCCAGGAATATTTGGATGTTTGGTGCTCTCTAATACATAAACAATAGGCATCATCCTTATGACACCTTTGGAAGCCCTGTTCTACACTATTAAATGGGCACCTGTTCTGCATATATGAATTGCATGAAGAAAAAAAAGGCCAGATCTTTTAAAATACCTCAGTAGATCTAAACAGTGTTTATCAGTGCTCGGATGCTGCTTTCCTTTATTTCGCCCCTCTGGCACAGGCAACTTCAAATGCCCATACAGTACATTCGCAATATCAGCAGCTGTGCCCAAAGAAAATGTCATGCCAGCCAAGTTATAAGCTTCCTTCTCAAGACATCTTAGTTTTTTACACAACAGGTTTCGTGCCCAGAGGCATCCCTCCATGTTGATGCCTATTCCCCAAAGCTCCATCTCAGCAAGGACCTTAACCTAATATTAAACATAACAATTGATATATTACTGTGAGCTGCTTCAAGCAGATAACTAGTTAAATAGCAAAATTATAATAAAATATCTTGTTCCATAGTTTCAAAGATGAGAAACTATAATTTCCGCATGCTAGATGGTCACAAATGAATTCTATCATTCAAGAGAAACAACCATGAATCACACTTGAATCACTAGAAGAGGCAAGAAAAAAATATTATTCAAAACTAACTGCTTATAAGCAGCATACCGGAAGGCACTAGAAACAGGACGTGGCTGATGCACCACCCTTAAGGAACCAATCATCTTTGCCTAAGGAACCAGAGACGGATTTAATCTGGGATCCAGGTCAGGGACAGGGATGGGAGAGCTCCCCACCCCCTATTTTTATTACAGTTACTTACCACCAAAGATTTGACACCACACCTAGATCTAGTATTTCTCTCAAAGATTGAAAAATGTATAGCAGAGTTTACCAATGGCGTTTCAATATATGTAAACGCTTCAATAAGTTTTTCAGAGATGAGTAGTTTCCAAAGAGCAGAACACAGGGCACGTGTTTGAGCAACTCTACGGCAGCAACCATTATGTGCAGCTCTTCGCATTTGATTCTTCCACCTGCCACTCTGATTAGCAGCTGCAGCGGCCTCACTGGATAGCCTTCTCTTTACTTCCTAATAGATCACAATAACATAATAAAACCTTACTCGAACAATATGAAGCGTCTTAACAATTTCAAGATCTACTTATAAGTTTGGCTAAGCCCAAATTAAAATGGAAATTAAAAACTAACATTAAGAACAATATAAATCTATAACCCTGAATTGTTAATCTGTCACAGGCACAATGAATACCTTCTCAAGGTTGGGATTAGAGCTTCTCTCCTCATCGGGCCAAAGAATCCATGCTGCAATGCACATATCAATTCCATCATTAAGAAGAACTGGTGGTAATAACAACCATGAGTTGTCAATAATTTCTAGTCCCATATCTTCCCCTCCTAGATGCAAGCAAGCAAATCTCTGAATAGAAATTGCGGGGTTCTTAAGCACTTGAATTTGCACTTTCAAGTTCCATGTAACTTTGCGGACACCACGTTTTCCCATTATATCGCCAATTCTCTTCCATCTCAGTTTAGCCATCTCCGACAGATGCTGAGAGGGTAGGTTGTTATGTTTCTCACTAGAGGCACTTGTTGATAAGGAATTGTTTTTTCTATTGTCCGACCATAGTAAATCCTTGGGCAAATTTACATAGTACACATGAGAATTTTTCCAACAGATTGCTATGCCATGAATCTCAAAGGGAGCAACAGAATTTGTTTCTGATCGTCTGTTGAAGTGGATGTCAAAAGAGAATTCCACTGCAGTCTCCCACAGCTCCAGGAAAGAATCAAATCCACCAGGAGCGTTAACTGCATTTAGAGGACCTTTCCCACAAGCACCATCTGCAGTGCCAACACAAAGATCTTCATTGAGCATATCCTGCATTCCATGATCCAGATATTCACTAGCAGTTTCCATCTTTGTACTTCTGCATTGTTCAACTGCAGCATTGACCTCGTCGCCAATTACAGCTGCAGGATTTTCCAAACCTAAGTTGGTTTGCAAGGCAGTATCTAAGTTTATTTCTTCAAAAACCACTAAGTTATCAGCAGAGGATTTTGTCAGCACTATTCCTTCATTAGGTGAAGAAACTTTCTCCAAGTTCTTGCCTGTTTCTGTCAGTGGCATGGCTGACGCATCTTCTATTTGCCCAACCCCTACAAAACTGTGAGGAGAATCATCCCCAACACTGGTACTTGCAGCTTCCTGTCCTCCTGGACTTCCATTCAACATCAGAGGCCGAGAAAATTGTGGAACGCTATAGCCAAGTGATTTGAAAGCTGAGAAGGCAGCAGCCCTGGCCTCTTCAGCTTTATCTAGAACAATTTTGCGTGCACCGTTCTTGATCTTCTTTGCCACACCAAATTGCATGTGTCGCTGTGCTAAGCTTTCTGAATACATAACATATTTGTAATATGGTAAAAAAGAAACAGAAGAGAGAAGTCAAAACAAAGAAAGGCATCACAACAGCTGTTCATCATGATCAAGTAACTACTTCAAGAAAGCAAACCTAAGCCAGAATCCAAACAATGAAAAATAAATAACAATGATTAGGGGAACGATATAATCAAAACCTTGAAAAAACTTTACCTTGTGCAATCCATGAGGAAGATTCAAAAAGAGCTTTCACGATCTCAGGAATAGATGCCTCTGCAATTGCTAGAGGCGTGCGCAAACCAGCTTTATAAAGTGCTCTTGCCCGCGATCCCTAGAATTAGACATAAACTTGCAAATATGAGACAAAGATAAAACTAACATCATCAGATTCTTTACCATACATAAATAATATTGAATGACCATGATGACATTCTTGTATACTCGCATTACAAGCTAATTCAGCATTTCATAAGTTTTTCTCTTATAAATAAAGGATCATTGTCTATAAGAATAGAATTTATGCCAGTACCAGTCCCAAACATCCGGCACACATATATGTTTAAAATGGAGAACCGAGTAACTAAAAGGGTCTGCTTGTTTCACTGAAAATATTTTCCGTAAAATGAATTACATATTATGAAAAAATATTTTACGGTGTTTGAAAGATGTTATGTAAACCCTTTTTCACTAGTCGAAAAATTTTCTATAAATTATTTATTACAAATATGAAATATAATAAATAATATTATTTATTATAAAAAATTAATATTATTATTTTAAAAATATTATAATAATTTATTTAATATTATTTATGCCAATATTAGTATTAAAAATATTATTTTTATAATTTTATAGATAAAAATATTAAGACTGGTATATTTTATTAAAATAAAAATATTAGAAATTATATTAAATATCTATTAAAATAAAATATTATATTTTTAAAATTATTAATCAATATATTTTAAGGATTTTTATTGAAATGTTATTAGACTATTATATTAATATTATATATACAAATAATATTATTCATTATTAATAATTTAATAATATTATTTTTAAGAAATTAATAAATAATATAACTTTTATTAATAATTTATTATATATTATTAAAATAAGAATATAATAGTATCACATATTATTATAATATAATTGAGTATATTATTGTAATAATAATATTATTATATTATATTATTAAAAATATTTTAAATATGTTGATAATTAATATTTTTATTAAAATGATACTAAAATATCATATTAATATTAAATACATAAAATAGTATTATTTTGAGTGTTTATGCTTTGAAGTGAAAAGTTTGGAAAATGAATTACGGAAAATAAGACCGTAAGTCATTTTCCGGAAAATGCAAAGGAAAGTCTGTTGGCTAGGAAAATATTTTACATTGACCAATTTATTTTCCTCCAACCAAACACTGGAAAGTGACGAAAATGTTTTTTGAAATTGTTTTACGTAAAACAAACAGACCCCAAATATATAACTCAAGAAAATATATAAAAGATTACCTTAACATATGGAATAGTAGTAAGCTCTACAATCTCTGCTCTGACTCCGAATGAAACACGATTTTGGAACTTTGCTACCAAGCCTTCTAGGTCATGCCATCCTAGCCTCTCACAGAACACAGAAACCATCGATGCAAATCTGCCAGCATTCTCCTGTAAGGCTTGTACCATGCCTTTTGCCACTCGAAAAGCTTCACAAACCTCACCTACTGGAACTTCCTTCATTGAAGAAGTTACAGAACATGAACATAAAACAGCGGGAAATAAAAGAAAAAGTTTGCACAACTAATATGTTAAATGGGGGAAAAACGTGAATGATATGCATGAATAGAGAATTATGCACAAGGAACAATCAATGGAACTACTAGACAGTGAGTCAAAGATGCAAGGCGATAATTTCATGGAATGCATAGATTTGTGCCCCTAATTAACGAAATATGATAATATCCATAGAGTACCGGCCCATATATTCAATAGCAGTAATAAGGAAATATATACTAGGCACTAAAAATAATAGTGTAATTGACATGGAAAAAAGAAAGGCAAAGAGACCTGCACTAATCTTGACAAGATGAGGGCAACATAAAACCGTTTGCACACTCGAAGAGTTTGCTCATCTGAAAGCATAATGTTGCTGGTCCCAACTTGATTTTCAAACTTTCCACGTAACATCTTCATGCAATCTCTTAATCCATTTGATTTGCGGATAGGAACACCATGTGCCATGCGCATCAAAAATGGTTCTGCTACTCCAACTCGATAACCAACAGACTGCATTTTCAATAAGCACAGAAGACAAATTGACTTTCATATCATCTATAGTCACAATCAAATACAACAATGGTCTTGATGCCGAACATTATAATCATCTCTTTCTATCTGTTAAAATATCAAGTAACTATCAATTAGAAAGTATCCCATTTCTAAAAAGAAGTTGGAGTTATCTCATTTGCTTTCCATTAGTCATGATTAGACTACAAGAAATCAAATATCTCTTTAGCATGACTCAAGAAATCAGAACTCTAAAATACATAAACAACATAGATGCAGAGGAGTCCAAGCAGTTCTTGTAAATCATCACCAAAACGGAGAGAGAAACCAGGAAACCAGGGTACTGGATTAGAATAAAAATAGTGATTGCCTACAGTAAGGCTACAATTTACTGTTACAAACAATGCACCCAAAAGAATCGAGATTTTAGACAAGAAGCAAATGCACCTGTTCAAGAGCAGACAATTCCATGAAGCGTTCATAGTACAACTCCCAATCTGGCTCAACTTCAACGTTGATTGGTGTTACTAAATAAACTAAATGCAAATCAGATGCAAGCACAAAGCCTTCTCTAGCTCTTGAAAGATCATCCAGCACAATCTGTGAGATAAGTAAAATAATTATACTTCATCTAAACATAACAAATTTTATACCTACCACCAGGAGTATGAACCACAAGTACAATTTCTGATTAACTACAGGACCATGAAAAACCTATTTTAAAATTAAACAATATAAACAAAATAAGCTTTACCAGTGACTCCTCTGGGCAAAGGGAACTGCCAAAAGCTGCACGTCCTAGGGGAGTAGTACCATATAACTTGGTATCATCATTCCATTCAAGAAATTTTCTATGACACAGCCACCGAAGAGAATCCTGAGCTGATTTCACCACATCTTGAAATGGTTTTGTAGAATTGAGAAGAGTACACCTAACATAGCGGTTAATATCATTGGCAGTTTGCACCATTCCGCCAGCCACAACTTCTAGAATTGCATGCGTCATTCCATTCTTATCTTCAGATAAACAAGACTGCAAGGGAGGGCAGCTTTCATTTAAAAGTCCTTTAATTCTTTTGATCTCTTCTGTCTTGCAAATAAGCACCTGTTTACATGTGAAAATGGCATAAAGGAAAAAAATAGTTAAAGAAAAGCAAAAAAAGGAAAATAAGCTATGTCAAATACAATGAAAAGAACCAAAAACGAACAGTTATAGCAATTGAATCCAATGCAGCTACTGTAAATGCAGAATATACTGAATGACAAAACAAAAACAGATATCAATAAAATTATTGAACCTACACTTTCTCCTTTTGTATCAATACCAGTCCGACCAGCCCGACCTGCCATCTGTTTGTATCTAGTCCCATCAATAAAATCACGTCCAATTCGGGGTTGTCGAAAAATTACTCTGCGGGCGGGTAAGTTAACACCAGCAGCTAAGGTAGATGTGGCAGTTAAGACACGGACAAATCCTCTACGATAGCAGGTTTCAATAACCTCTCTTTCCTCGACCTTTACAAAAATAAAAATTCATCTTGACCGTTAAAAATGTAATAGAACGTACAAGATTGGGCAATCAATAAGAAGCTAAAAGACTTACATTATTGTAATTTTAAATGGTAATAAAGGAAACAAAAATCAAGTTACTACTAGAACAGAAAATACCAAAGATACGAGTTGGGAGAAATACCGTGAGTCCCGCATGGTGATATGCAACACCAGAAGGAAGAGTTTCTTCCAGTACTGGATCCAAACCAGCAGGACACCTTCGCAAGGCATCTATTGCTGAAGTAATGTCAACAAACTCACTGTTATCACCATGGGCATTGACAGAGAAATTCTTAAGAAATTTTGACACATGCTTTGCAGTTGATTCACATCCTTTCCGACTCGAACAAAATATCAACACTGAATGGCCCTGTTGAACAACCTGAAGTACATTGCATAAATTTAAAAGTTATTAACACTCAAAATAGTACCAAGGTAGAGCTTTCCGGAAAAATAAAGTACAAAAAATACCAAGAGTCCCAACCTCATTGCACAGTTCGACGATATGATCAGGATCCTTACCACCAAGATCAACTGCCTTTGGAATTGTTCTAACAATGTCCAAATTCTTGTCATAAATGGTGTTGCCAACTTTAATAAATTCCTCCAATGGAACCGGTCGAAAATCTGTCTGGTACAGTGCAGCCTAAATGTATAGGGGTGACAAAAAATGATAAATCAGTAACCACATAAGCATAAATAATATGGGAAAAGAGCTGTCTGGCAACAAAATTCATCTATGAAACTTCAAGGGAAAGTGTTTCTGATGTTGAATTCTTTTAAAGCACTGTTTCATAAACTCTATTATTCACTAACAAAAATTGGCGAGATAATATTATATTCTAGATTATTTAAAACAAAATCCGCAGATATTTCTAGAAGGCCTTATATAGAAAAATATTTTTCTAATATTAAAAAAATGATGAATTTATCTTGAAGCACACATGTTCAATGGTCTAAAATCAGTTAGTTTCAAAGCGCGAGTGGCTGCGTGTGTTTTTGTAAAAGGAAATTGCTTTACTTATCAATCTAATTCCAGATAATGACCAATTCTCTCAATGCATTAAATAAACCTATAGGAAAAAATATTCTAATAACCACGTTAAATACAATGGAAAGGAAATTATTTTAATATAAACATAACAACATGTTAAAAACCAAGTAACGTCTGAAAACATCCACTGGCCAACAGCTTCACAACATTATAAACAATCGCCACATGGACATCAATATCATGCAGGAAAAACATTCATGAGATTGAGATCAAAGATATTAATGAACAATTGAAATTTGAAAGGTGAGAAAGAAGGCAAAATAATGAAATACTGATACTTTGTATATATCACTTACTTGAAGCCAGTCAGCAACAGCTTCCACATTTGGCATAGTTGCACTCATCCCTACAATTTGTAAACCATGAGCTGGATCAGCCTTACCACTGCTGGAACCTGTACTTTCTCCACTACTTGATTCCGACGTGCCTTCACCAGCAGCATAACGAAGTTTTGTCAATAGAAGCTCCAGTAGATAACCCCTACTTTGATCACCAACCTGTCATCAACCGTAGGCATGGAAACTATCAAAATTAATCCATCCAAAGTGTAAGAGACTGAAGGAGAATAAGGGAAATTAGAAAAAGATGATAAAAAATTGTGCACCATAATAAGGCCAACGAAAAGATTAGTCATAAAATACCATGTGCAGTTCATCAATCACAATAATTCCAATTTCTGACAGACGACCCTCTTCCAGCAATCTGTTAATTAAAGAGTTCGCCTTCTCTATTGTACAAACAGCTACAGAAGTATCTTTAGGAAGTGTTCCACCACCCTGAGTTCCATAATAACTACGAACTTGTTTTCCAAGTGGTTCAAGAAGGACCTCCAGATGTTCCGCCTGTAGAATGTTTAAGCAAATAAGTATGATAAATTGCCCAAGAAGGCTTAAACTTGTATCAGCTACTATCGGTGGACAAGTAATATCTGGTGCCCAACAACCTTTTCTACGCAGATTGAAACATAAGGAAGCACTAGTAGTGCTGCTTTTCCTGTTAATATCACCCGCCGCAACATCAAAATCTCAGCAACAAAGCTTTTACCAGCACTGTGGCAGAGAGAACAAGATTAGCATATATAACGCAACATGACATATCAAGAGCCAAGTAAAACCCATAAAACAATTCTATCGCAGAAACAGGCACTGGTGCTAAAATGTCGTACAAAGAGAAGAATGAGAACAATAAGCATTAGCACCTAAAAAATTGACCATGAAAAAAACTTCTGATGAGTTCTAAATATCTATAAAGTACCTTGTAGACGCACAATATACAAGATTTCTTCTCTGAAGTACACCATCTACCTGAAGGCAGTCAACCTGGAAAGGAGAGGGTTATTATCCTGCTTTCAGTGAAGCAAATAAAATACTTAAACACAAGATACAAATAATCAAAATGATATATTAATGTTTGAATGTACAATCAATTTAATCCATTTGAAAAAAAAAGAGAACAAGTGTAAGAAACATACGAATGATGGGCTCCAGTTTAAGAAAAACAAAAAGTACATAAAAACAGAGAGCAGTAGCAAAAGTAAACAGTGACACATAAAAACATGTGCACTTATCCTGGTAACATGTCTAGGGATGGAATTATACAATGAATAATTGGATATTGATAAATGATACCTTGGCATGCATTTAAGAATAATTATCCAGAAAAGTGCAACTATAATTACAATTCAAACCAAAAGTAAACAGTGACTCATATAAAAACATGTGCACTTATCCTGGTAGCATGTCTAAGGATGGAATTATACAATAAATCTTTATATATACCTGCCATGGATAGAGTTGTCCAATTCCTTTCTTTTTATATATTTTGCATATCTCTAAAGGAAGCCAACTGCTGATACTTAGCAGGTCTTTCCGTGCCACGGAACTTAATGGAGTACTGGTTTCATTGTATTCATCAGCACCAATTGACTTCTTTGCTTCATTATCTGGTGACATGGAAGTTATACTATTATTATCTTGATTTGATAAATTAACTTCCACTTTGGGTACCACATTAAGGGACGCCCTTTCCTGCGTTTCTCCTTGCACCTCTTCAGTTTTCTGTAGTTCAACGTGATCTATCAGAGTATTACTGCATTCGGCCACTTCACTGTCCTTCTGTAATACATTAGGGATACCTCCATCCAAGTTTTTGTCCTCAAATGAAAAGTCAAGATGCTTGACAGGCAGCGGGGACACTCCTTTATCCATCCCCTTCTTCTGCTTCATTGCTGACTCCAAAGAAGCATTAATTCCCTGAAGTTTGACTCTGCTCTCACATTCATCAGGAATTTCCTTTGACTTGTAACCAACATTTGTATTTCCTAAGGTTTCTGTATTCTTTACCTCATGTTGGCCCTTCAGACTATTAGTTTCTTCAGTGACTTGAGCAGATGGTTTATCACTTTGAGAAAACAAACCATCAGCCATTTCAACTGCTTCATTCCAGAAAGCTTCCCCGGGTGAAAACATAGAACTTCCTCGAGTTGACTGTGGTGTCCTACGAGCACATGCTTTAATAATTGATGAACCAGGTGTACAGCAGTCCATTGTATTTAGGACAGCTTTGGTTGCTGTAGTGCACTTTCTTAAGCCTGCTTGAAGCTCAGTGGGATTGCTGCTAGTTATTACCTTAATGAAAAAAAATTAGTCAAACAAAAGTCAGGAGAATTTCAATCATCAAAACTAGAGCAGAGTGGTTACTTACCTCTTGCGAAGGGTTGCTAAAGAATTTTCCAGTTTCATATTCAAGATTCTTCTTATTAGAGCAAACAGTAATATCCTCTGTTTCCATCTGATGGGATATAAGATGCCTTTTCTTGAATATTTTATCCTCCTCACTCATAATAGACGGACTAGCATGTCTCTTTCGGTCATTCACCTTTGTCTCTGATGGCGAATCAACATTGGCTGGAACTTCACTGCATAAGAAGACAATTAGAATAACAATATGATTCTTTTTTTCTCTAGAAGTTGATGAAAAAGTCACGATCTAAATAATAGGAAGAAAAAGGCTAAAAATCACCATGACAGTTCTTGGAAAGAAACAAGATACAACTATATTACTTACCTACAGTACAAAGACAAAAAGTCGGAAGCAAACTGTTTTAATTCCGGATTTTCCCCGAGTTGAAGAGCACCCTCAGCTGGACCTAGAAAGGCAACATTTCCTGCCTCCGACAAGCCCAGAGATATTCCCTTATGAGCCACTTCAAACTCTTGTGATTTAGTTTCTGCCAACAAGGAGTGCTCATTTTCATGTTTGGAAAATATATCAAACTCCGATGCCAAGTTCGTTTTAATAGGATCATTCCCACTAGTCGTGCATGAAGGGTAGACAATTTCATTATCTTGTGAAGTTCCAAGATAATTGTCCAAAGTGCCTTTGGCACTAGGAGAACCTTCCATTGTTGTTTTTTCATTCTTTTCAAATCTCCCAATCTTCAAACCAGGCGACTGGGGCTTCCTCTTTTTCGAAGCAAAAAACTGCACAGCCAACAACCCAAAATCAAATATCAGTACAAACTTTTCGCGCAATTTTTTCTCAGGTGGGGTTTTCTTGCGAGTATAAGTTTCCCAAAATAAAACGCCAGGTGATAAACCAATTTCTTCCTAGTTTGTGAGTAAGAGAATTAATCGAAAAAAAATTTTATCCCACAAAAAGAAGTAGAAGAAATTGGAGTATAGTCCCATTCTAAATCAAAATCTTGATATATTTGAGTGTCAATTGAAAAAAATGAAAAAAAATTAGGGTTTTGAGAAAAGACATGATTTAGGAGAAACCTGATTGATGCGTGATCGAGGTGAACCAGACGCCATTGCTGGAAATAGGAAAGATCTACCACACTCTGCAAAACCTGATCTTCTTTCTGCTCCTTGTTGTCCCAAATGCGACGTCGTGGAGATTTTTGAATCGACGAACTGAGCGCCAACAAAGCCTGGTGGCGATAGCCACAGCGAGAGAGAGAGAGCGGGAGGCCGGGAGCGAGGGCAAGTTCTAAATATCTATTACAGGTACTGTTCATCGAGATTCAAGTTCAAATATAGTATTATGTATTTTCAATTATGCCCTTAATCTTTAATGTATTTCACTTTTCAATCCCCTGTCCTTTGCTGGATGTGAAATCTCATAAAGTAAACTTTATATAATAAATATATTTGTCACGCTTTTATAATTATTTATGGATTTGTTCATTGTTATCAATAACATATTAAATACATATTCTTTTATATCAATTTATTTATAAATTAGTTGAAAATTTTGTTTTATCATGAAAACTAATAATTTAGTTTAAATTGTATAAATGGTTCTTTTATTATGTATTTTTAATTTGATATTTTTATCCTCTTTAATTTTCGAAATGTATTTTCATGATTAAATAAGAAAAACATTCTTCATTTTATGTTTAATGCATCTTTTAGTCCTTAAGTTATACCAATTTCCACTCTGGTCTTATTTTTTTTCTTTTCGAAATGAGTCCTTAAAGTCCTTATTTATAATAAATGTGAAAAATAATAATAATAATAGTTTTTTTTAAAATTACATTAACAACGTAATAATCAATGACAGTTTTCAATATTCAAATCAATAAATTAATTGTTTTCTTAATTTAAGAGTCACATAAATTATTTTTCAAAAGTTTAAATGTTTATTGTACCGTTACCTTTAAATTATAATATTTACACTTGCGATAGCTTAATTTTTTTAATCATAAACTATATAATTAGTTATGAAATTTTAGATTTTAAATTAGTTTTAGCATTAAACTTTAAAACTCTTCATTGTAAACAATGAATATTGGTGTTGGGTTGAACGAGGGCATTATTATAACCCTAATTTGTCAATGATATGATGAGATGATCATTTTTTTTAAGGGAAATCGATAACTTTTTCAATTGCAGCAATCAACCAAACACCATTGATGATTCTAAGTGACAAAGTAATATCAAAATATTTATATTTCACTCATCTTTATTATAGTCAAATTTTAATGAAACTCACCTTAAAAAATAATGATTTAATTATTATTTATTTCACAAACTTAACGATTTCAAACTAAAGGGTAACATATACAAATGGTCTTCCGATTATAAATTGTTGTTTTGTTGAGTCTCATATTATTAAAAGTTTTAAAATAATCATCCGACTATATGACATTACTCTGTTGAGTCCATTGACTATTAAAAGTTACAAAATGGTCACCCAACTATTTATATGTTTTAAACTAATCATTTTTTGTTAAAAAAATTAACCGTCGTCTGAGCTATACATTAATATGTTGATTGAGATGTGATGGTCGTTTGAGATTCTTATATTATATTTTAGCATATCTCAGTTAGCACGTTAATGTACAACTCAAACTATCCACACATTTTTAAAGGAAAATGACGAGTTTGGAATATATGAATAGTAGAGTGATCATTTTGTAAATTTTAATAGTTGATCGACTCAACAAAGTAACATCTTATAGTCAGATAATCATTTTGTAACTTTTAATAGTCGAATAACTCAATAAAATAACATCTTATAGTATATGACTATTTTTATATTTTACCCTGTACTAAATCACTCTTAGTTCCCTAGTCACTTTAATCCCGTCTTACGAAACATTTCCAAGTAAATCTCAATCTACTCAAATTGCAGGTCACTTTATTTGCGGTGCACTCGGCTGCCTGCGTTTGTTACTTTCTAGCTGCGCATCACAAACACCCCGTTAACAACTATTCCATCTACTGGTCCATTGTCACTCTCACTACACTTGGTTATGGAGACTTGCATGCAGTGAGCACAGAATAAAATATATCAACCATGCTTTATACGATAAAGCATAGAATGCCATATTCAAATGTTAAAAATTGTATATGTTCTAATAAATATAAAATAATCATAAAAATTTGAATCGTTATTATATTATTAATGAGTTAATTGTACCATACATCCTCAAATTAATTATCATTTTAAATTGGTCCTTAAACTTTTAAATATTCCAAATTCATCCCTAAACTATGACTCTCATTCTAAATTAGTCCCCAAACCTCTAAACATTCTAATAAGTTCCCCCTAAATCATTCAAAAGTTTAGGGATAAAATTAAAACATTCAAAAGTTTGAGGATTAATATAGAATGAGGGTCATAGTTTGAGGACGAAATTGGGACGTTTAAACTTTTAGGTACTAAATTATAACGAGATTCATAGTTTAAGGATAAAATTAAAATATTCAAAAGTTTAAGGAAAAATTAAAATGACGATCATAATATGAGGACGTATAATACAATTACCCCTATTAATAATTTAAAACATTGAGGGCATTCGGGTAAATATAACAATCATTTAAAATGAAAATCGATAATTTCAGTGAAAATTTTAACTGAGTGTCGATACTCTTAGTTTGAAATGGACTCAATGAAAGGCGTTGATACCCTTTTTAACCTTGAAATGATCGAATACTCAAATATAAAAACTGTTATATGGTTACTCTTAGTTTTTAAAGGAGTATCAATACTCTTAGTTAAATTTCGATATCAATTTATAATATTAAAAAAAATTAATCATCTGAATTTTAAGATTGTGATGAAGATTATCTTTATATAATCATGGACGGATACATAATTTTAGATTATATGGTAAACATCTAAAATTTTATGAAGGGATAAATTTATAAAATTTAATTTTATGAAAAAATAAATTAAAAAATTTAAAGGGGAAAAAATATACATAATTTTTTTAAAATTTTAAATTTTTAGGTGGACAATTACCTCCGCACATCCCTTCAATGAATCATTATATATGATTATAAAAAATTGAAAACATATAGCAATTTTGATTAACAAATATCTATTTTTATAAACGTAACTCATGAATTGTATATCAAATGGTTTTTATTTTATGTTAATAATTTTGAAATTAGTTGGTGTTGAATTTGCATTATGATTATTGAAAGTAATAACTTAGCATTTTATTTGCAGACAATTGAACATATAATATCTGGTGATTAAATTACCAATTCGATCTTTATATATTCGGATGGGAATAGACGGCGGGCCGAGCCCATTAGATACACTTAACGTGATCCAATCTCAAACCGCGCATGTCCCACGCACGTGCGAGGACAATTCCCCGCCAAAAACACCGTAACTTTCCCGCCAAGGACAACCCTGATGGTAATTAAACATAGAGGAAAGAAGTTGCCGCTGAGAGAACGATATCGACTTCTTCGTTTTCAGTGAGAGCGAGAGTCGATAATCACAGGTGAAAAGCAAACAAGAAAATGTCGGGATGGGACGAAGGAGCAGTTTACTACAGCAATCAAGCGCAGTTCACGGAAGCCTCCACGGAAGCAGAAGCGGCCGCAGTATCCTCCACGACAAGCCGCCACTCCGTCCTCCTCAAATTCAAGGAGTTCATTAGGAACTTTGAAAAGGAGAAGAATGTTTTTCCGTACAGAGAAAGCCTCGTTAATAATCCGAAGTTCCTACTGGTCCATCTCGAGGACCTTCTCTCCTTCGATTCCGATCTCCCTTCCCTCCTTCGATCCGCTCCCTCCGATTACCTGCCTTTGGTAAAACATTTTTCACGAATTTCCATTATCAATTTTATCAAAATACATTATTTTAGGTTATGGTTGTTTCCTCTTAATTATTGGTGCAGTTTGAGACAGCGGCTGCGGAGGTTTTAGCGGGTTTGAAGATGAAAGTAGTGGGAGATTCAGGGGGAATGGTGGAGCCACAGACGGGCGAGGTTCAAATTTTGCTTACATCAAAGGAGGATCCGGTTTCTTTGCGCTCACTTGGGGTAATTGATTGGGATTTGTTTGATTTATTAGTATGAACGGGATGAGTTATTTTCAGTTTCTAACCTTTTTTGTTATTTTGTTAGGCCCAATATATATCAAAACTAGTTAAGATATCAGGAATTACTATTTCTGCTTCAAGGATTAAGGCAAAGGCTACTTATGTGCATTTAATTTGTAAGAACTGTAAAAGTGCTAGGGTTATTCCCTGTCGTCCAGGGCTTGGTGGGGCGATTGTTCCAAGATCATGTGACCATATTCCACAGGTTTATTCTTTATCAAAATTTGAGTTGTTAAAATTACTTGTTTAGTATGAGAGCTTTGATAGCAGTTACGAAATTTCTGTAGCCTGGAGAAGAAGCTTGCCCTATTGATCCATGGCTTGTGGTTCCTGATAAGAGCAAGTATGTTGATCAACAAACCTTGAAACTGCAAGAGAACCCAGAGGTAACGGTCTTGATTTTTAGAGAGATACTATATAAAACGAATTATAGAATTGATTGGATTATGCATTCACGTTAAATTTGAAGGATGTACCTACTGGTGAGCTTCCTAGAAATATGTTGCTTTCGGTGGACCGACATCTGGTTCAAACATTTGTACCTGGTTCAAGGTTGACAATAATGGGAATCTATAGTATCTTTCAAGCTGCCAATTCATCCACTAAGTAAGTCATTGTGTCTTTACTCTAGTTGAATGTTTACTGTATAGGTAGCCTCATGTTTCTCTTGTAATTGGAATTCTAATTTAAAAAGATTTATGCAGCCATAAAGGAGCAGTTGCAGTTAGACAGCCTTACATCAGGGTAGTGGGAATGGAAGAGACAAATGAAGCAAACTCCAGAGGACCCGCCACTTTCACGCAAGAAGAAGTAAGAATCAGAGTGATCATGAATATGGTTTCTTTAAGAAGTTGCATCTCCACTTGACAGCATCTTTTCTCATTGCTTCATGCCTTTTTTGCATTAAAAATTAACTACACGCATGATAGTGCTATTAATATGTTCCTGTGTTTGCAACTTATTTTTGAACTGAGTTGATTAATTTGATTTGTATGACTAGGATTTTTTTCCTCAAGCTCTAAACTGAAGATACAATGGATTCCCTTTTCATCATCATTGTTATGTAAATTGTCATTTGCAGGTAGAAGAATTCAAAAAATTTGCTTCAAATCAAGATACATATAAAGTCATATGCTCGAAGATTGCTCCCTCTATATTTGGTCATGATGATGTCAAGAAGGCTGTTGCTTGTCTTCTCTTTGGAGGAGCCAGGAAAGTAAGTTTTATATCCTTATCTTCTATCCTTAAATATTCCTACTATCTACTTGTCACCATAACTGTCTTCATTGATGCGTAGAATTTGCCGGATGGGGTGAGGTTAAGAGGTGATATTAACGTGTTGCTTCTTGGAGATCCATCTACTGCCAAGTCACAGGTTAGTTACATGGTCGAGGTAGCTGAAATAGAATATTATGCTTCACATAACCTTTTTACCTGTCTCCACATTTCATTTTAGGGTATTTATCTGGGTTTTTTTAGTTGAATTTATTTCATTCAATAACTTCTAGTGCTTCTCACACAATTTGATGCTTATTTTATGGTTACCTTGTAAAGTTTCTCAAGTTTGTTGAGAAGACGGCTCCAATAGCTGTTTACACTTCTGGGAAGGGCTCTTCAGCTGCTGGTCTTACTGCTTCTGTTACTCGAGATAGTAGCTCTGTAAGTTCTTGGTGTGCTATAGGGTGCATATGATTTTGTTTTACTTGTTTGATTCTTGAGAAGAGTTTCCTTTATTTCTCCCTCAGCCCTTTTATATGCAAAAAAAGTTTCTCACATCGTTCATTTATCTATGAAATGTCAGCGAGAGTTTTATCTTGAAGGAGGAGCCATGGTTTTGGCAGATGGAGGTGTTGTGTGTATTGATGAGTTCGATAAGATGAGACCAGAGGATAGGTAAGTTGAATTAATGTTAAAACCTGTTGGGCCTTACTATGTATGATGCTTATGAGGTTTTGCTCTGTATTGCCTAGGGTTGCTATTCATGAAGCTATGGAGCAGCAGACAATATCCATTGCCAAAGCTGGAATTACAACTGTTCTCAATTCCAGAACTTCAGTGCTTGCTGCTGCTAATCCTCCTTCAGGACGTTATGATGATCTTAAGGTGCGTAGCTGCACACTTAATCGTCCATTTTTCTCAATTTCTTGAACTTATTCCTTTGAAGCAACTAAAAGAAATATAATTACCTTGCAGACGGCACAGGATAATATCGATTTGCAGACTACAATTCTTTCAAGATTTGACTTGATCTTCATTGTAAAGGATATCAGAATGTATGACCAAGACAAGGTAGTCTAGATTTCCTCCCTCAGTGACAACTGAGAATTGCTTGTCAGAACAGTTATTTCTTAATCCCTAAACAGTAATTCTTCTGTTCTAGTGCTCCAAGGATAAAACAAAAGTACTCGTAGTTTAAATATGATTTCCAAGTGCCTCTACCAATGGCTTTGAGTTCCATTACCTTTTTACAGGTTATAGCAAGTCATATCATAAAAGTTCATGCCTCAGCTCAGACTGCATCCAATGATAGTAGAACTCCTAAAGAAGAGAATTGGCTGAAAAGGTAAATGTAAAATAAAGTCACTTTTTTTTTTATAATTAAAGTGAAGTTACTCGAACATATCCAACATGTATGCTACATTGTATTTGCTGCTGAATCGTGTTAAATTTTATAGGTATATTCAATATTGTCGAACAGAATGCCATCCTCGCCTTTCAGAAGCTGCATGTGCTAAACTCCAGAGTGATTATGTTGACATCAGAAGGGTATTCTCAAACTTTAGCCATAAATGATTTTTTTTAGTTCCATCCCAAATTTAATTAGCAAAGGGGTAACCCATTAGCATGAGAACTTCACTGAAGTTGATTTTCAAATGATCTCAAGTTTTAATATGTTAACTAACATGAGTCATCAACATGGGTTTACTCCTTTAGGGAATGAGGCAGCAAGCAAATGAGACCGGAGAGAGTGCAGCAATTCCCATTACTGTGAGGCAGCTAGAGGCCATCATAAGGTTAAGCGAGGCTCTTGCGAAAATGAAATTGTAAGTACTGGATCTAGCAAAATCATGTTAGGTCGTGAATGCTTGAATTAAATTCAAACAGGAAGTTAACCTACTTTGGTAATTTGATAAACATCTACCGACCTATTTCGATAAATAGAATAAAATTTTACCCCATTTTAACAGTTGAAATGTATTTTAGGTCACATGTTGCCACTGAAGGTGATGTAGCTGAAGCATTGAGACTTTTCAAAGTTTCCACCATGGATGCAGCACGTTCTGGAATAAACCAACATATTAACATATCTCCCGAAATGGCCAATGAGATAAAGGTTTGTAGACATTTTTGCTGAACTTGTTCTCCTACTCTTGTGATCTTTCACATGTTAACAAATTTAATACATATATAGCAAGCGGAGAACCAGATAAAGAGAAGACTGGGAATTGGAAATCGCATATCAGAAAGAAGGCTGATCGATGATCTTATTAGAATGGGGATGAACGAATCAATTGTAAGTAGTTAAAAACTGATTCATTTGAGTATGCCAATTATCGGGTTGTATGTACATCCGGGTCAATCATGTTTGTAATATGGTGGTTATGTTTGGCAGGTAAGAAGAGCCATTCTAATTATGCACCAGAGGGGTGAAGTTGAATATCAACGAGAAAGGCATGTAATTGTCCGTAAAGTATGATGTTGCTGTATTATTATTTGGAAACAAAATTATCACCGGAGCACTCCTTGAGCCCCAGGTTTTTACTGCAGGATGACCTTGAAAAATGTTATTAGTATTATTGTACTACAACATGTTTCAATCTTATATTTTAAGTAGGATGGATAAATTCGTTTCATTATCATATTATCACTTTATTAATTTAAATTTTCTCAAAATATTTTTGAAACTCATGAAATTAAATGGAAAAAAATCTTTCATCCTCTCAAAACATTTGTAATATTCATGAAATTAAACACAAAAAATTTATCATTTTTGAAGATTCGAATTTTTTTTGGATTGGAGAATTGAGAGGTTTATTCTAAAATTTGAACACGGACACATTCTTTAGAGAAAGTAAACAATATATTTTAAAATTAATCTCATTGATTAATCTTAGGAGGAGATCAAATCATTAGACCGTTAAATTTTTATATAGATTTTTATTGATTTTGAATGGATTTTATGAAAAATCAATATATAAAGAAAAAAAAATTGAAAAGTGAATTTTGATATTGATCTTGTCACGAATAATAGTGAAGGGTTTAATGTTTTAATTGAACCCAAAATCAAAATGAATTGTTTACATTAAGATATTTTAAAATTTAATGTTAAAATAATATACAGTTTAAATTTTGGCGTTTTTCTCGAAATATCACCGGTAACAGGTATATTTATCGATCTAACATCGGTCAGATTATATTTCCCGATATAACACCCTTAGCAGTAAAGCGCGCCCCCTACACCGCGCTATTTGCTGACTGGGTTATACGTGGGGTATAGCGCGCCCCCTGAACCGCGCTATATCTGTGTATCTAGACAATTATATTTAGCGCGGACCCTGATCCGCGCTATACTATTATTACATATACCGCGGTGTAGGTATCGCGCATTGTATGACTATATATACCCTTCTCCCCCGGTTATGTTCCTCACATCTCTCCTCTAAACTTGTAAATTAATACAATAATTCCGTCAACGAGTCAATAATATTGGCAATCTTCTCATATTTAGTTTAGAAGTTCGTGTGATTTTTCGTTATAATGTAATTTTGTTATAATTTTTTTATTATACTTATTATTTAATCTGTGTCATTTGAAAAAACATTATACTAATTATTTTCAATTATATTATTTAAATTATTTACGTTGATTTGTAAAAATTTATTGTGTTATATTTTCGTTCATATATAATTTATTTAATCAAGTTTGTTTCAGTTATTTTTTTTCCAGATATAATATTACCGCACTTTTAAACTCAAAGAATGGCGCGACTTTCAGCTATTGTTTATTATGATGGTGAAATTCGAGAAGATGAAACCGGCGTTGTTTTCGTATTAAATGAGCGTGTTAAAATATCATTCAAGAGAAACATAACTCTTGAGGAGCTTATAACGAAGATTTCGAGGAAGATTCATGTTGGAAGTAGTAGAAGAATGTCGTCGTTGCAGTACAAATTTCCAATATCATTGTTGCCATTAACTTATACAGCGTTCGAACTTTCGAACAATGATGATGTTGAAATGATGGTTGAAGCTCAAAGTAATTATTCAGACGCCGCTATTGAGATGTATGCATATTTTGTTCAAGTGTGTGCTGTTCAGGGTCAATCATTAAGCTCCCACTATGGGCTGGCTGAACAAGTTGATCAAGTTGACAGCCCGACTACAGTAATGTGTAATGATTTTAATGCCATAACGGGGAGACATTCATCCGCAACTCCTTACGATATGTACCGAGGTGGGTCCACGAACAATCCGTATGGCAACACCGCGTCCAGTTCAAGGGGAAGGCATTCATCTGCAAATTTCTTTGATCATATGGAGATGACAACGACGCAACCATCTGTGCAGTTTCCATTTGACACGATGGCTTCAAGCTCTAGGGGGAGGCATTCGATTGCGAGCTTTTTCGATCTCAATGTCGATATGCCTTCCAGTTCAAGGGGAAGGCGTGCAAGTAGTATGTTCTTCGACCTAAATGTGGAGAGCACGGAGGAACCATCATCTCCACCAGAAGAACCGCTTCGAGAGCCTGGTGCAGATGGTGCTGAGACTGGACTATTCATTCACCCAGAATCACCGCAATTCAACTCCGATGATGATGAAGTTCCAAGAAATGTGGCACAAACTGACCCTCCTGCACACATGTATGAAGCTGATTATAGTGCAATGTACGGGCCATAATTTGTGGATATGCCTCATCTCAGTGACTATGGATATTACTCATTAATAAATAATGGTGAGCTATCTTTAGGCATAGAGTTTTCAAGCAAAGAAGAAGCGATGATGGCTATAAAAAATTACAATATCCGTAATTCTGTTCAGTCCAGAGTAAACCGATCGACGATCGAAAAATATGTATGCTATTGTGCCCGACGTGAAAACAGATGTAAATGGATGGTTCGCGTATCGAAAATGAAGAGGAAAAACAAAATATGAGAACTAACAGTATACAACGGTCCTCACACATGTTGTGCTGGAGGGGTCAACCAAGATCATCCCAACTTGTACTCTAAAGTGATATGCCAAGCCATCATGTCCATGGTAAAAGCAAGCTCTCATATAGCTGTTACAGTGTTGATTTCAGCTATACAATCGCAGTATGGGTACACTGTCTCTTATAAAAAAGCTTGGTTGGCAAAACAAAATGTCATTGTTAAACTTCATGGCGAATGGGATGCATCTTACAACGAACTTCCAGGCTGGTTTAGGCTCGTGCGGAGGTTGAATCCTAGGAAAATTGTGGACTTTGAAACCTCCCATGCATACCATAATGATCGAGTTCTCCGCGATCGATGTCAATTCTACCGGGTTTTTTGGACTTACCCACAGTGCGTTAATGCTGTCAAATACTGCAAGCCTGTGGTCCAGATCGACGGGACTTTCTTGTATGGAAAATACAAGCAAGTTTTATTATTGGCAGTTGTCCAAGATGGAAATCGCAACATTCTTCCAGTTGCTTTTGCTCTTGTCGAATGAGAAGATACAGATTCTTGGGCTTTTTTCCTCCGGAATTTACGTGCACATGTTATCACGAGGGAAAAAATCTGTGTCATTTTTTATCACGGAGCTGGGATCAAAGCAACAATGGAGTCTTTAGGTCCAACGTGGTAACCACCCTTTGTCCAACATAGGTATTGTCTCCGACACATTGCTGCGAACTACCATGGAAGATACAAGAAGAAGAATAAGCGTCAATTACTTGTGCGCATGGGTAAGTGAAACTGATGTAGTTTGTTTTCTTTCGATCCTTTTGATCAAGTTAGTAAGTTATACATTTTTTGACCAGGTTACGAACTTCTTCCTCGAACGTTTGAATCAATGCTTCAAGATTTGCGGGCGAAGAACGAGGAATGATACGATTACATTAGCCTCATCGATAAAGAAATGTGGACGAACGCATATGATGGTGGATATCGATATGGACACATGACGACCAACTTGGCTGAGGCAATCAATTCAACCTTAAAGGGTGCACGTCACTTACCTGTAGCGGCTTTGGTAAAAACTATACATTTTTGTTTGGGGGGCACTTTTTGCGAAGCTCGGGGGACAAGCTCAAACCTGGATGCAAGGCAGTCATGTCTATCACCCTAGATTAGTTGCAGATCTACAGAAAAAAATTGCTGCATCAAATGGAATGTTTGTAACAAGCTTCTCTAGAAGGCATGGAATGTTTCGTGTCACAGAGTTACCGCGACCTCTTCAAGGGATTGAAGTTGTGTCGTTAAGAGTAAATCTAAGGGACAGAACGTGCGACTACGGGTTTTTTCAAGCTCTGAAGTATCCATGCTCTCATGTGATAGTAACTTGCTCGCATACACGTCAAGACTATAACCATTTTGTGGATCCCGTATACCTACTATCTGAAGTTTTTAAGGTATACGAATTTGATTTTCCCCCATAGGTAATGACAAAGACCCTGATGAGGTTCAAAATTGGCTTCCGATTGTACCAAATCTGAGTTTAATGAGGGAGCGTGGTCGTCCAAAATCCAATCGAATTCATTACGATATGGATATTCGAGAAAGATCTAGACAAGACAGAAGATGTGGGCATTGTAGAAACCATGACACACTAGAAAAACATGTCCACTTCTGTTGTCATCAAGTAACAATTGATGAGGAAATGATGTATTTGTTTATCAAATAATAATTCTTGTACTTTAATTTGCATTTACTTAAAGTTAATGTCATTCGATAATCGATGATAAAGATTAAAAAAACGAACACAATCATTAAATTTTATTAAACTAATAACAATTTGGTATTTGGATATAATTTTAAATACAACAAACTTACAATAAGTATTAAATGGTAAATGATAACCAAATTACAATAACTAATATTAAATTGTAATAAACAAAATGAACTGAAATACATTAAAAAAAGTCCAACAAATTTAACAAAATAAAGTAAGTATTAAATGAGAAATAATAAAAAATTACAATTTAACAAAATAAAGTAAATACAAATATAATAAAAAACAAAATCTATCGATGCTTGCGACGCGAATGTGTTCCGCAAGGCGGTGGCTGTCGGTCTCGAGGAGGATTTCTTCGTATCATTGGTTCTGACTCCTCCCTGTCATCATCATCACCATCATCGTCGTCGTCGTCCTGAGCAGGTACATTAGGTTGATGATAAGCTGATGACGATGAAACACCTCCATATAATAAGTACACTGGAGGTATATGACTGACTATCCCACCGACCTGCAAAAACTGGGAAAACTCATAAAACCGAGACATCGTTGAATGTGAAAACTGTACAGGAAGTGTATGTGCTGCGGCCATGGGTGATGAGGCTGAACTTGCCAAATATCTAGTATATGAACCCCAAGTCAGATATGCAAACATAGACCCATAATAGCCTCCAGGAGGGGTCATCTATAACAGTGGCGGGGGGAGGGGGGTTCATAAAACCAGGAGAAGGCGGCGGCGACATCTGGTAATGGAAAGGCGATGACGACATCATATATGGCTGCGGTGGCTACTGTGAAGGTCCTGCTAGTGCAGCTGAGGATGAACCGGAATCACCTGCTCTTCGTCCACGAGTCGAGGGACGATGGTGCTGTGTCGGATCACGTCTCTGTCGACGTCACGGAAAGGTCTGCCCTCGTGCATCCTCAGGAAGCAGAAACGGTTTCCCGTTACTGTTGAACCACTAATAATAACCTTCAGCAACACTCAAGAGGTCAAGTAAAATGGGCTCTCTACAGGGAAGGTGCCGATGTCGATCATCCCACAACACGACCCACTCATGATGCCTCACCAGCCAATCTGTATCTGTCTTGCCGCGTCTATCTAAGCTATACAACTCGTCCATATTGCACAGTGCATCCGGAATTGGTTGAAAACAACCAAACTGCCGGAGCACGCGATTAGTGGAGTGCCACTCGACGGTCGCATAACAGATCAGAGGGACCATTGCCATCCAAACATCTGATGGACCCCTCAACTCAGGTGGGATCACCGCCCTCACATCATCAGTAGAATATGACACCCATTCAAACTAAAACAAATAATATATAATTTTATCAAAATAATAATCTAATTATATAACTATAATCTAAAATCGATTTTTAAACATTAAAATTCATACTTGTGTGCCAGCCTTCTGATCGATTAGCACCCTAATTTTTTCTAAATCATCAGGTAGCTCCTGATGATTTTTCCTATCAGTAGACCACCTATTCAAGAAAAAAATTTATTATACGCTGTATAAAATTATTAATATACAAAATCAGTTTTATAATTACCTCAGAAGTAGTTGAAATACGAATGTGTTCTTCACAACGGGACATAAAAAGGGTAATCGATATCATGCCCAAGATTGCAGCAGTAGGAGACATTCGCCGATAGCATCATGCCTGTAGTCAATGGCTCCACACATCTCCCTGTACAGCAAAGCCAAAACTGCCGAGCCCCAACTAAATGATCCGGCGAGACGAAAGTCGCTAAGATGTCACAATCACATGTAGTGAACTAGGTTGCGCGATTTGTCCAGCATCAGCAACCCTCCTATCAACTGCAATATGCATGCCCGTGCATACATCTTAACCTCATCCTCAGAGGCGTCTGCGCTCAACTCCCGAAAATTGGCATCTAACCAATTTAACGGTATTCTACCTCCGATAAAACTTTCCGAGACACGTCATATATTTTCCCGACACAAAGTAGTCAAAGAACCGGAAGTTATCTCTGATATCACATCTCCATCTACCGGAAGCCCCAGATGCATAGAAACATCCTCAAGCGTGATCGTGCACTCTCCGCACGGAAGATGGAATATGTGGGTCTCCAGCCTCCACCGCTCTACTAAGGCAGAAATAAGGTCTGGTTCTATCTTACAGTGACCATGATATCTACCTATGTAACAAAATCCAACCTCTACTAAATATGCAAGACACAACTAGGTATCACTAACTTAAGATTCCTAATAAAAGGATATAATATACGGTCATTCTCCTAAAAATAAATAATTACAAAAATTAATTCTTAATCTAAGAATCATGTATTAAATAAATCAACAAATTATTACTAATAATTTAAATTAAATTAAAACGTTAAAATGTTATCGTATCAACAAAGTGTCGAGATATATGATTTCCATCTAAGAGAAGTAGGCCGCCTTCCATTATATATCTGCAAAAAATTTATATTAGTAAAATATTAAATAAAGTAAAATACTTAAATAAATTAAATACATAATATTAAAAATATTATAAAATATACCTTAAACTAGAGAGTATTTGAGAGAATTTGAGATAATTTGGTGTGATGAAAGTGATTGAGGATGAGGTATTTATAGGGAATGGTGGGGTGTGAATGGCCGGGTAATTAAAGCTATAGCGTGCCCCCTGTACCGCGCTATACCCCACGTGTCACATAAATAGGTATAGCGCGGAACAAGGGGCGCGCTATAGCCACGTGTAACCCAGTCAGCGTATAACGCGGTATAGGGGGCGCGCTATACCCCACGTGACGCCAAATCAGCATATAGCGCGGGTCAAAGGGCGCGCTTTACTACTACGGGTGTTAGATCAAGAAATATAATCTGACCGATGTTAGATCGATAAATATACCGATCACCGGTGATATTTCAAGAAAAACATCTTAAATTTTAATAATTAACGATGTAGTTTATTTTTAAACTTATAAAATAGTCAAAATAAATAGTTTTTTCCCTAATAGATAACTGCTTGAACCTAACATTTTAAGGAGAAAAAAATATATTTTTAACTATTGAAGTTACTTGATGGATTTGTCAAAATAAATAATTTTAACTAAAAGTAAATGTTTGAGCCTATTGAACAACTTTAGTGGAGAAAAATATTATTATTTTTAAAAATTTTACGTTCTAATAATTATGTCTTTAAAATATATTTAACCCTAAATCCTTATTTTCTCACAAAATAAATTTTAGGATTTTTTTTTTCAAAAATGAATTAATCAAAAATTTTGAAATTTTAGTTTTTTATTTCCTTTAAAAAATCCCTGCTGCATTCTCTCGTAAACTATATGCAACTATCTCTTATCTGCAATTACTCTTGTCCCGTTACCCTCTGCAAATCCCCCATAGCCCATGGGGTCAATCACTATCTTTAAAACCCTAACTTGTTAACCCCCAAACAACAATAGGAGGTTCTGTTCCATTCTTCAATGTCTCCCTTAACCCACTCTGTGAAAATCACTTCTCCAGTGCTTCTCTCTTCACTCTCCCGTCGTCCTCTCAGGTTCCTTTAACCTCGTCCACTCTTTCCTTCACTTAATATTTACACTTAAGATCTGAACTTCAACGTTGCTGATTTCTTTTATGGATGCAGATATGCAGTTCTTGGTGCTGGTTTTGCTGGTCTTTCTGTTGCTTGGCATTTACTCAAGGTATACTTTTCTGCTTTGTAATTCCATATCTTTTAAGCCATAACTATTAATGGGTTTCTTTTGAATTATACGATTGTTGTCGTCATTGCATCTTCCAGGAGAGTCCTAAGGATTTGCACTTGCATATTGACTTGTACGATGAAATGGGCATTGGAGGAGGCGCTTCGGGAGTCTCTGGAGGACTGCTACACCCCTATTCACCTAAAGGTTTTCGTTCAACTCCTTTCAGTGTATGCTAATCCTTTATGATTTAAAAAGAACCCACGTCCTTTTTCGCTATGTTTTCTCCTCCTGTCGAGCTTATCAGTGTATATGCTGGCAGTTAAGCTTCTATGGCGAGGTGCCGAGTGTTGGAAAGAATGTCTAAAGCTCTTAAGTATTGCAGAACAAGCCGTTAGTTCCGAGGAGGATTTGGTTTCTGAAAGTGGTGAATTTGATCAGGATTTTGGTGGGTTTTTAGTCCGGAGAAGGTTTGTTTTTATTCTCTCGAATATGTTTACTCTCCCTCACTTCACATGCAAATGTGAAATGCCTAATTTTTTGTTCTTTTGCTTATGCTTATGATGAAATCGGTGCTCACAGGGGCATTTTGAGACCAGCTACAAATTTGAAGACTTTGAATGTATTGAATGATGTAATTTCTTCAGCCCTTCTTAATGCAGACTGCGCGCGTACACACACACATATCGTCGGTTTTTGTGCTAATGTTGGCTGTTTTATTTTCCTCGGTGAAATCAGAATGCTCAGAACTGCCTTGCCAGTTGCAAAATAGATATCATTGATAAGAATGCTGCCCAAAAGCTTGTACCCCATATACATTTGCCTTTCAACTTGGCTTTTTATATGCCTGAAGCTGTAAATTTGAATTCTCAGTATTATCTAAAGGTAAGAATAGCTAGGCTTCTGTTGTTGGACTTCTATCTTTTCCACATATTTGTTTTTGATGATTTCCTTTTCTTTTTTTTATTCTACCAGGCACTGTTCTTAGCTTGTCAAAATTTAGTGAAAGAATTATCTGCTTTGGGCTCCGGAAAGAAAAATCTATGTTTGCAAAAGAAATCTGTTTGCGAACTCCGTGAACTAGAAGGTAAGCGTGCTTTGTTAGACATGATGATGGAAAAGACATGTCAAAAACAAGTTCATACTCTGCTGGACTCCACTAAATAATTAAAGAATCTGAACTCCCCTGAAAAAATAGGGGAAGGGGGTTGTCAAGAAAGGATCTTGAAGATTGTCTTAGGCTTAACTTGAGGAGGATAGTTTTGTTTATTTCAGGGATGCATAATTTTTCTTTCTTGTTTCCACCATGTTCAATTGTTCATACTATTGCTATAGTTATCATTCTGGTGAACCAAACGAGCTACTAATTTGTGCATTAGGAGAATACGATGCTGTGATAATATGCCTTGGTGCCAAAGCAGACTTGCTTCCGGAGCTTGCAGGGAGGCTTCCTTTGAGGACATGTAGAGGTGTTATTTTGCACTTGCAACTGCCTGATAATATAGGGTAAGACTGACTTATCTTCTCATTTGCACTAGAAAACATAAGGGCTGGTATATCAGGCAATAGCTCTAGATATGAAATGTGGCTTTTAGCCTTCATTTGAAGCTGTAGTTCCATATATAATCGTACTGTGTTTCATATATATATTTTGACACGTTTGTGTATATGTGTTTTAGTTGTTTTTCTATTATCATGTTTTTGTCGTGTGATCCCACTGTATCCAAAGTTACCAAGACTATCCTAAACCCTAACGAATGTAACCAGAAGTTTCTTAGTGATCTGGGCTCATTCACAAATATCCTAAATAATGTTCTTCAGGGAAGATTATCCAGACCATGGACCATCAATATTATCAGATGCATGGATTGCTATCAAGGGGAACCGAAGTTTGCATCTGGGTTCAACGTGGGAATGGAAGTCAAGGAACTCTTCACCAAACGTCTCAACAGATGAAGCTTCCAATGCATTTCAAGAGCTTCTTCCAAAGGCATTGGCTATTTACCCTGGTATAATGAGCTGGAGTTTTGCCGGAGCAAGGGCGGGCTTGAGGGCAATGCCACCACTCACTTCTCATGGATCGCTTCCTCTTTTGGGATGTGTCAATGATACATTAGGTAATGATCTTAAATGTAAGTATTGGTTACTTGGAGGGCTTGGTTCGAGGGGATTGTTGTACCATGGTTGGCTGGGTAAGTTGACGGCTGAGGCTGTCCTCTCTTGTAATGAACAAATTATCCCTTCTGAACTAACCTCATGGAAGAATAAAACATAGGTGAAATTATATTGTTTCGCAATGACATGATTCCAAGACTGTCTTCTCCGTGTCTTGAACCCAAATTTTCGTGTCTTGTTTTGTACGTAAGTATGAGCGAGATGTCCCGGATGTTCATTACATTTTTTGATAATTTTTCGTGAAAAACCTTTCATTTGTTGTTTTTCTTGTTTATATTTATTAGTGTGATTTTTCGTTTAATGAAATAAAATCAACCCAGGCAGAGGTAAATTTAAAGGAAAAACAAATACGAATGCAAATGCAATTTTGAAACTTTTAATAAGTTAATAAAACTAAAAAAAGTACATCTGCAGTTCAGTTTCTGTTGATTTTCGGCACTAACTGGAAACTATGCCTTGCAATATCAGAACGCTTAGGCTGCTTCTGCTATATCAAATCATCCGTGCAATCTCGTCATCATAATATGTTTCCGTGGGTGCCGGAATGCCTTGAAGTGCACGTTGATTCGGTGTGACTAGTAGTGCCTCGTTCTCTCCCCTGAATGTGGTCTGAATCGATGATAAACATAAACCAAGGACATTTAATCAGAGACAAAATACTATAAAATCGTTTTAAAAACATTAAGAAAGGGTGTTGCTTGACCTTGCTATGAACTACGTTTCCCCAGGCATCACCGGTCAAGGCGTAGCGAATGATGAACTTGAGGATATCGAGAGGGATGTACGTGACTACGGTGAACACCCAGATCGCACCCGCCCATTTCCATCCAAGGCCTTGCATCCTGGCGAAGCCCCAGTTTGCGTATACGGTAATCAAAGTCGCCACCTTGTTTAACAACCCACGAAAGAGTTATAATTTTGAGCAAAATACGTTAAGAGTTATCTTGGTTTTGAATCATTTGAATAAGTATTTTTGGCATGAAGTTATTTCAGGTCCCGATATGGTTTGGATAATTTCTTGTTTCATACGAACAAGTTCGAATTTGGATCAATCCCATTGAATATTCAAGTTCGGGTCAGATAATTCTGTGTACATACATATATGGATATGCGTGTGTGTATATATATATTATGGATTTACCAGTTGTGCTAAAATGAAGGCAATGATAAGCAATGGACAAGGGCACTCGACGAAAGACCAGCTCCTGGACCGTGTGACGAAGATGAGTGCCTGACTAACGGAACTGACTTGAAGGTACAGAGCTGAAGTAAGTGCGGCCTGATTATCATTGATTGGTTTCACACCAAAAGTTTTCTGCAACAAATGAAACTAGATTTCAAGCATATTCTTTTGGGGGGATTTATAAAGAATTTTGAATTCGAGTTTTATGCACTGACGGTGAAGAATTCGGTATCGTGAACAAGCCAGAAAAAGAAGACTGTCACAATAGCCATGTAAGTTCCAAGGACCACCCCGGTGGAAAATATTTCGTCCAGCTTCCACGAGTCGGGCTTTGGAGACGGCTTCACCCTATCCTTTGAGATGGTCATGATGGTTCCATCATTGAGGATTGCGATGATCAACACCATGAACGGAGAGAAATCAAACTTCCAGATGAGTGCCACCAGCATGAACCCCATCACGATACGGATCGTGATGGAAACGGCGTAGATGGTGTAGTTCTTCATCCTTTGGAAGATAGATCGGCTTGTCAACACTGCACTCACTATCACACTCAACCCTGGCTCGGTCAATACTATATCCGAGGCACTCCTGGCTGCATCGGTTGAATCAGCCACTGCGATGCCGATATCTGCCTTTTTAAGCGCTGGGGCATCGTTCACACCGTCTCCTGTCATGCCACATATGTGGTTCCTTTCTTGGAGTCTCTTAACAATATCGTACTTGTGCTCTGCATGCAACAAAATTTATGTAATTAGGCAATAGATGAACTAGTTGAGATCATTTCATGCCGCATAATTGCTCGGAATACTACAAATTTAAGAGCTTGAGATGATTATCCAATTACCAGGGAACACTCCTGCAAATCCATCAGCTTTCTCAATGAGATCATCGATAGGAATGTTAGCAATTGACTCATCCTGACACTGGCCAACTAGGGAAGAAGCAGGATACATATTGGTCCCCATTCCAAGTCTCCGACCGGTCTCTTTGCCAATGGCGAGCTGATCACCGGTGATCATCTTAACGCTGACGCCAAGATCAAGTGCCCGTTTAATAGTCTCGGCACTATCATGCCTTGGAGGATCAAAGAGAGGCAGTAGTCCCACAAACTCCCAAGGTCCTCCAGGGCTTTCCTTTGTTTTTTCTGGAATTGTCTGTGAATTATACACAATAAATTCATTAGCCAAATGGTTTTCCTTTTTATGGAATCTACATATGTACATTAGCATTGCGGCCATCTACCTGTCTACCAACTCCCAAGGACCGAAGGCCACGATTGGCATAGCTGTCGATGACATTGAGCGCCTTTTTCCGCAAACCACCGGTGAGTCCACAAAGCTCAATGATCTGAAACAAATCGAGATTAGAATTTTGGATCAATACAACGACCATGGCTGTTTTCGTTGTATCTCACCTGCTCGGGAGCGCCCTTGCTGGCACGATGCCACTCGCCATTGCTGTCGATGTAGGTAATGGCAGTGCGCTTATCAACGGGGTTGAAGGACATGAAGTGTACCTCAGTGATTCCAGCCCTTGCCTATTGATTCATAAACAGAAAAAATGATCCGGACATTGATATTTCAAGCAAAATGAAGGTCCAGAGCAAGTAAATGTGGGTTGTATCGGATACCTGTTTAGGGTCACTTAACATCCCTACAATACAAGCATCAATGGCGTCCTGGTTTTCAACCCTGGAAGCCCTTGCAGCAATCAGCACAAGGCCGTTGACGTCCATACCGCTTGCGAACACCTGCAGGTATGTACATATACTGATTATTAGATAAAACACAGAGATTTACGCCTGTGAAAAACCGTAACAACATAACTCGAAACCAACCTCGACGAGACTCTTGTCAACTGTTAGCTTGTTGAGGGTTAGAGTCCCGGTCTTATCACTGCACAGTATATCCATCCCTGCCATTTCTTCAATGGCGGTCATCCTCTTGGTAATGGCTCCTTGCTGCGACAACCGGTGGGAGCCAATAGCCATTGTTACAGACAAAACTGTAGGCATAGCTATTGGGATCCCTCCGATGAGAAGCACCAACAGGTTGTCGATACCTTCTCTATACTTCCTGTGCTGAATAGGGTACATCACTATGATCTCAATCACCATTCCTATAGCGATGGAGAAGATACAAAAGTTACCAATTGATGTCAACACCTGCAACATTGAAACAACAGGAAGCAATGAGTTATTACTATGTACAAAGCATGTTGGATGTTTTTGCACCATGATGAGTACCTGTTGGAAGTGACCGACGTTGTTGGTGTTGTCAACAAGGTGAGCAGCCTTGCCGAAGAAAGTATGGAGACCGGTGGCGATGATGACAGCGTTGATCTCGCCTTGCTTGCAGGTGGAACCGGAGAAGACATGATCACCGGGATTCTTTGTAACGGGTAGGGACTCGCCGGTGAGAGCTGCTTGATCGATTTTGAGAGTATCGCCTTCCAAGAGACGAGCATCGGCCGGGATAATGTCTCCTAATTTAACACTAATTATATCTCCAGGTACCAAAATCGACGCCTCTTGTTCGCTCCATTTCCCATCTCGCAACACCTTCGCTTGGGGTGCTAGACCGGCCATTAAAGCAGCGGCGGCATTGCCGGCGCTGTTTTCTTCTATAAAACTGATGGTTGAATTGATTAAAAGCAAAGTAATAATACCAACGAAATCTGGCCAGTCAGGAGGCTTGCCACCGCCATTGGCCAAAACAATGGCCATGATGGCGGCGGCCTCCATCACCCACGACAGCGGATTCCACATAAACCCTAAGAACTTGAGGACTTTGCTCTCTCTTTTCTCTTCAAGCTTGTTGGGACCGAAAATGCTCAGCCTCTTCTCTCCTTCTTCTGTTGTCAAACCCTCTCTCGTGCATTTCAGCACTTTAAAAACCTCCTCCACAGGGATATGCTCCTACAAAAAAAAAAACTCAGAGCTCCATCAATTTAGTTTTGGCGGGAAAAACAATAGGGACGAAAGCTAACATGCATGCAAATGGGAAAAAAGGGTTCAAAGGCTTACAAGATCAACAGACTCGTTTTTTATCTGCTCCAATGAGATATCACCACTGGAACCCATTGGATCAAAAACAAAGTACCAATTACGAAAGAGGTCTTCGTTTACAAGAGAAGAAAGAAGAAAACTCTTGTTTCAAAACCCTTCTTTTCTTTTCTTTTTCTTCTTCTTCTTCTTTTTTCTGAGCTTCTTCTTTCTTCAAGTCTAACCTCAGTCTTCCCCGTCCACCACAAGACAGGAGCAAATCAATTGATTTGTCGAAGGGAATGAAATGTTATTGCCTTTTGAAACTCATATATATTTTCTCTTTTATAAATAACTCGGAACAAAACCAAAACAGAAAACAAAAATGCTGAGAGAGAGACGGGCAATGAAATGAAACTGGTTTATGTTCATGTTGGGGAATCTGTGGTTTGCCATAAGTCGCGGGGTTAGCTGGTTGTTTATGAGAATCTTACAGCGTTTCCCAATAGATTTGAAACGACAAAGTTTTTTTATGGTTTATGCAAGGACGGCCGTCAACTTCCCAACTGCTTTCTTCCATTTTTCTTTTAGTTTTCAAGGGCCATCTCATTTTTAGCGACAAAATTTTATTAGACGCTAAAAACAAGTCAAAATAAGTACAACAGTGATGACTCCTTTTATAGGACTAAGCAAAATATCCATTTATCGGATAAAATCTATTAAATTAATTCTTCCATTTTTTCCAAATAAATAAATGATCTTACATTAGTATATTGAACCCCGAATATAATTCTTGAATTTAATCAAATATGAAAAAAAAACTAAAATCAAACATCTTTAAATCATTTCTGTTTATTCAGTCTTTTAATATTTGAAACCAAACCGATTTAAATTTCTATGATTTAATGTTATAAAGTTTATGACATGATAATATTTAAATACTATTTGTGATATTAAAATATTTTTTGATAATATATTAAATATTCGTTTTAAATTTAAATTTATTTCAATTCAAATGCTATTCTAATTTAAATTTTGTATGATAATCTTATCCGTATAATATAGAGATATTGGTTGTTATTATAATGCTCTTTATGCTTTACCTAATTACTTATATACATTAGGACTTTATTTACAATTTTTTAAAAATATATTTTATTGAACATAATAAATAGCAAAGAAGGCCGTAAAAACTGTGGAAAGTTGAGGAATATAGAGGCCGGTGTAATAATTTTATTAATGTTATGAATTGTCTTAATATATTCACATATTTATCTAATGTTTAAATTGTTTTAACGTTCTTTTTGTATCATGCTACAATTTTTTTTTCAAATCGTATAATTATCTCTTTTAAAGAAATAGAAAACATACAATGTTTGAAAGTAGCGGATATACGTAGCATCACAAATTCAATAAGTATAAATAACACTCTTCCTTCAATCTATAGGCCCACTGTGTTGCTCCAAAACGTTATACAAGTTTTCTAACATCTAAATTTTTAAATCGAACATCAACCACGTCGTCCATGAACATGCCATCATACATACCGTGCCATGAACCAATTATATCATAGCCATCATAATCATCATGTCACGAGCCAATTACATCATAGCCATCAGTGGTTATATCCGAGTCACAAGAGAATTTATCTATGGACTATCCATCTTGCTACGCTAACTCAGATAACACATTGATTTGCAAAGCTTGGGTCCAATGGGATATATGATCTAATTTCCTCCAACCTTGTATGAACTGTTCGAGTGTTACGTTAAACTGACGCATCATTTTCCTTAAATATCCACGCATGCTATAATTATATCCTATCTCACTGAATAAAAATGAAAAAAACCTAAAATTCAAGATCAAATGACAATTCAATTTTTCGATCGAGATCAGATGAAAATCTTCAATTTTCATGTTGTGATCAAATGAAAATCTTCAAGCTACTACTTGCTCTCCTTTATCTAAAAACACCATAGTACTAAACTGCGATCGCAACACAACTTAAAAGCCACAACATAACAGTTTTCAAGGTCACTACATCAACATAAACAACCGCAATATCACATAGGTAACCACAACCATAATATAGTAGTACGAGAAACACACAAAGCATGTGCACTTGCAAACAAACTTCATGTCATCTTAAAGAAACGAAGGTCTGCAAACCATTAAACAAAGTTCTCTTCCTATTGTAAACCAGATTCCTACTCTTCATATGCCTCAAATGGCTCTTTAATCCACCGAGAAATGCCAAAAAACATAGCAAATAATTATCAGTTACTACTATTGCCTAATAACTTCAAGTTCTTTGATTCATAGAAACTTTTTCAGATGAACTCAACAAGGCCACTCTCAAGCACATAAAATCAGGTAAAAAGCTTAACATAACAAAGAATAAACCCAATCAAAAAGTGAAACTCAATATCAAGCATCCAAATGAAGATAATGATCATATGAATTTAAAAACAGAATATGAAATACTTGAAATATTGCCAAAAATCTCATCAAAATCTTTAATTCAGACACCCATCACCCTCATCAGTTCCCTATATTAAACATCAAGTCAAAATGTCTGCAAATAAACTTGAAAAAAAGCTTGAACACATAAGCTCATGGGGCTTAGAACCCTAGCTTGGTGCGGCGCCAATGCCTACGCTTAGCATTGTACCTGCAATCAAGAAACGCATACAAAAAATCAAAAGAACCCATCAATAAAAGGTCTGAACAAAAACTTGTAAAAAAATTTAAGCGAATAATGAAGAAAATATATTGACCTAATGGTGTTATCAGTGCGCATACGAATCCAGTAAGGGATAGGCCTATTCTGCCTCATCTTCTTGGCCAACTTCTTCTTGATCCTGAAAGTCTTGTGTGAAGGCTGCCATGTCAAAACAAACAAATTCAAAGTATCAGAGAGTTATTTTCAAAATTCAACTTTGTTTACAATAAAGAGAGATAAAGGACCATTTTTGCACAACAAAAAAAAAGGAGCAACTCAAGCTTAAAACGAATGAACCGACTGAAGATAAGTGAAGAGGGGATTACCATGTTTTCTGGTTGGGAATTTTGAGGTAATGCGGCGCTAAGGAGAATGAAAGTGGTTCATATAATAAACCTGTGCTACAATTGGTATTTTAGGGTTTACCTTGTTGAGCCTTTCATGGACTGTTGATGATTTTCGACCCAAATGTAGCTCAATTTCTTCTATTCCTTGTTTGGGCCTTCTCCTTTTTGATTTCTTGTTATGAAAAGTTCTATTTAAAATAATTAAGGGTAAATTATGTAACTAGTCAACCATATATTCATTCAGTTCCACTTTGGTAATCCTATTATATATATATTTTAAATCATATCTAGCGTTACGTTTTGGTCACTTGCTATTAAAAAATTAATAGTGATGCTTACATGTTACCTTAAGATAATGTCATGTCATCACTGAAAAAAATTATCACATCAATAATTCTGTTTATTTTTTAATGATGAATGTTTAAGATAAAATAAAGCATAATGTTAGATATAATTTTAAAAAAATAATTTAATGACTAAAATGGAATTCTCTTTACAAATTTTTATATTTAACGCCATTTAAATAAAAGTAAAGATAAATTATTTATTTAATCACTCGTGTGCCTATATATTATATTTAACACAAAACAGTGCTACTTCCATACATCTACTGAGCTTACACGAAGAAGAAGAATCATCCAATGATTCATTGAAAAGCTCTACCCCTCTATCTTGTTTCCATGATTCACATTGGGAGGAAAAGCTATGTCATTGAAATTTTCAAGAAAACGATTATAATCAAATTCACAATGGAGTTTGAGTTTGTAGCTCTAGATGAGTCTGGAGAATAAGCTAAAATGGTTTTAAAATTTCTTGGAATATATTCCTGAATAGCTAAAACATGTGCCCGTAGCATGAATATACTGTGACTAGCATGAAATTTCAATTATAAAGGTAAGTCAAGATATATGCACCGTCGAGACAATACAATAGACAATTGATCTCAAATATAATTATCTCTGTTGATTTTATATAATCAAAGGATAACATTGTGGATCCACTAACTAATGAGTTAAATCGATATCAAGTTGAGAAAACATCCAAAAGAATGTAACTAAAGGCCATGAAATTTAAAGGCTATATGAAAGAAAACTCTACCCAGTTCTATAAACCATGTACGACCACTGCAGGGTTTCTTATCCCAAGTCCGTTCCTATGATGTAAACATTGATCAAAGTGGTATAGGCTAAGTAAAGCTTTTAATAGTCATTGTGTGTTTCAGTGAGCCGAGCAACATAAATCACCAATGTGAGGGTGAAGTGAGGTTGCTTCAAGGAGACTATTGGGTATGGTTCTTTCAAACTCTTGTAGAATCATGCGATGTCTACGGCTTTAAGGACATAGCCATGAGATCTAAATTCTTGTTAGAAAGATAGTTATGTGAAGTATGTCATCGTTTACACAAACATCATAATTGTTCAAAGATATCATGTCTACTGGTTAGTCAATACAGACTATACAGTAAATATATTGTCACAAGGGAAGTTCAGAGGACACATTCCTATCATATGTAACTATCGATCGTAGAGTCTATCATTATACTGAGTCAAAATGGTTTTGATAAAATCATCAATTTTATTCATGTAGAAAAATAATGTTTTTGTCCAACATAAATCAACTCGACTAACCCCAACACCATTAATATCTGCAACTACATGATCAAAGATTAGTAAAAACATATTTCTTATACTTAAATGTGTGCAAATACGTTCACATTCTGTCATCGAGGTGCCACTTGGGTTATCGATGCATCATTGACAGAAAAAACATTCTTCCTCTCTGTGTCTATACTTTTTCTATCTTCATCTCTTGTAACTGAATATGCAGGCTTCTTAGGTGTAGAGATTGCAACACTTCTTTCGTTCTTGAGAATTGCGGAAACTTCCACCATAGACGGTCTATCCGCAGCATTTTCCTGCACACATAGCAGTGCCACTTGCATACATGTAATGAGCTTACACGACGAAGATGAATCGTCCAGTGACGCATCGAAAAACTCTGTTCCTCGACCTTGTTTCCACAATTCATAAGCCTGGATATCATTTAGACATTATGCATTTCCGATATTTGTGCCATGAAAAGGAAAAATGGGTGCCTCAAAGTTACTTACAAATTCAAGAAGATACAAGTTTTCATGGCATCCATAGAGACTGGAATTCCTCTTGCCGCTTATAATTTGCAGAAGTAAAACTCCGAAACTATAAACATCGTACTTGGTAGAGTATATTCCTTTCCTTACATATTCAGGAGGAACGCAGCCACTACATTGAATTGAAGAATTACTAACAAGATATAGATGCAATGGGAGAGATCGGAAAACGATCTGATATGTATTAGTTGACAATATCTGGTTCACTTACTATGTCCCAACAATTCTTCCAGTGTTTGCTTCGAGTTCTTCCTTCTTGAAGAACTTGGCCATGCCGAAATCTGATATTTTCGGGTTCATTTCATCATCTAATAAGATGTTGCTCGCCTTTATATCACGATGAATTATCGTGTAATTCGAGTATTCTTGGAGATATAGAAGCCCTTGTGTAACACCTTCGATTATCGAAACTCGTCTTCTCCAGTCTAACAGATGTCTTCTAAGTGGATCTGCATTGATCAAATGAATAAGCAACACATACTTTAAGCTTAAGAAGTTTAGGACAAGTTAATGAAACCACCAACATGGAATAACATGCCATAAAAATGTTCTTAACAATACCATAGAGGTATAAATCCAAACTTTTGTTCGGCATGAACTCGTAAACCAGCATTTTTTCTTCCTTCTCAGTACAAATTCCCAGAACTCGAACTAGATTCACATGTTGAAGCCTAGCTGTAAGAGTGACCTCGTTTTTGAATTCTTCGAAACCTTGACTCGAGCTCTTCGAGAGCCTCTTCACTGCTATTTTCTGCCCCTTTGGTAACTTTCCCTGTAACATTCACATTGCAGTTAATAGTTCCGAATAACAACTAAATGTTCAATCAACAGTTAACTTGTTATTTGTTAATAATCAATGAGTAGTTTCATTGTTTGAATGTATTGGAATTTCAGAATCCCCTGCAGGTAAGCAGCAAACATACTGTTCTCGGAAATGGCTAACAGAGTACTAATTTATTACCTTGTAAACAGGTCCATATCCACCCTCTCCAAGCTTATTCTCATTCGAGAAGTTTTTCGTGGCAGCTTTAATGGTAGAGAAAGTGAAAATTTCCAGACTAGGATCACTATTTCCATGCTTTGTTTCAGCTGATATTTTGGTTCTTATCCATGAAACCGACATTTTCGCAACACTCAAAAGCCCTGCAATCGAAACCTTGTTGATTTAACGTATGATTGTCGTCTCAAAGCATTGCAAATTCACACATGTTCAATAAGTTACCTTGTGATTTGAATATTTTCTTTTGCAGGTAACAGATGATAGCCATCATCAGTAGAAAAATTGCAGCAACTGTAACTGGAACAATCACCAATAACTGGTGTTTCTTCTGCTGACTACTAGTGCCTATTCCATAAGCTGTGGAACATTTATATATTATTAATTACATGAATTATAGTACAAGGTTTTGCAATGATTTCAAAACTTCAGCAAAAAAAGATCTGTTCTTTAATCTTTTAGCACGCAAAGTTGACAAGACACCCTAATTTTCTACCCTAAAAGCAGTAAAAACTCATTAAAAAAGTCATAGATTATTAAATTAGAAAGCCCTGAAAGTCAAAATATACTAAATGGAGGCAATAAATTATGCTACTTGACATGGTTCTCTTTTTTTAAAATCAATGTTTGAAATTTCAGTATTTCTCTACGAAAATTGACGCGTACTAACATAGAGACCAGAGATTCCATAGAAACTAAGGGAGATAACTATCTTACCAGTTTCTGAAAGCAACCAATTATCGTCACCGGAGAGCTGAAAGGCATAGTAACCAAGTAGGCCCTTCACCTTGGCATAAGAAACCTTAGCTTTAATGGCTTCCACATCATCGAAACTGATCCAAATCGATCTCATTTTGCAAATATTCACCCCATAAGTAGAATTATACACCGGTTCAACCCCATAACCATTGTTGCGAATGGATGCTTTTATAAACCAATACGCCATTGAACCGTCAATCGTGTTAGCCGGCCCTGAAGCTGCTGAACCAACGCCATTATCACCCGAGTTAACAAGTACCCATCCAAAGCCATGGTAAGGTAAACCTAAAAGTAGCTTTTCAGCAGGGAATCCTCTCTTTAACCATTCCCCAATGACAGCATCACTGTTGGCCCTTCCTGATGGGTCATATAAAGCAGCATGAAAACCAGTAAACCTCTCTACTGTTGGCCCGTAGTAGTCATATGCTACAATATTTACCCAATCCAAGTTTCGTATTGCAGAATCAATAGGATAACTCACTGAGTTGACAATTGGCCAGCGATAAGCCGACATAGTTAATAGCAACTGAGTCTTACCAGAGTTTCTTGACTCAGCAACTACCTCAGCTCTCCACTCATCCAATAAAGCACCCAAACTGCTCATATTGGTGCCATATATGGGCTTATTAACCCCATAAAGGTCTAAACCATGAAAACCATAAAGCCTGGCTATTTTGATTGAAGATTCAATGAAAGATTTCCTATGGGAAGTTTGATTAATCATCAAAGAGAAGGTGCTCGACTCGGTTCTTCCGACCCAAATGGATAAGAGAGTAGTAACCGAGGGATTCTTTAGTTTTACAGTATTGGTGAAGTCAGAGACAGGTTGTTGATTTGAGGAGTCGATAAAAAGCTGATAGGAGGTTGAGTTTACATAAGCAAAACCGCAAAAGAGATGAGTGAAAAGGGCAGATTTTATATCAGAAATAGGAAGGGTGCCGCTAGGTATCCAGTAACCAGCTTTGATCCATGTTTGTGAGCTTGAGCTTTGAAGTTTAAACGAGAGAAACAGCAAGAGGAAGAAGAAGAAATTGGGGGTTTTGGACGCCATAGAAAAAGCAATCTCTTGCCTCGAAAGTAGGTGAATTTTTTCCCCCGACTGTTGTGGGACGAATATATACACTTGTTCAGCTTGTTTTTGTTTCGTGTCAAATTCATAGCGGAAAACAACTAATTTGACGTTGTTGTAGAAAAATCTCAGTCTTTTAAATTCTGTAACGTGGCTTT